TACACACTTTAAATAAATTGACAAAGAAACTTACTTGAATTTTCTTGAGATAACTGATTAGTTTTTGAGGGTCTAGGATTAGTAGATATTGTGGGAGAGCCTAGTGATGTAGACACTGGAGGATTATCTCTAACAGCACCTGCTTCAAGAGTATTTTGCCTCTTAAAGGACGGAGGAGGAGGGCCATTCGTCACAGGCGTTTGATTGGCTAAAAGTTTGTTTTTATATTATTAATTACTTTGGTTTCATTACATTACTCTTCAAAATATTTAAGCATTACCAATGTGTGTGTTAATAGAGAATAAATTTATTACTTTAACACAAGCATCTTCAAACTATGGCAGGGGTGCCACTCTAAAAAAATATCAAGACTGAACATATTTTTTGACGAAATAATACTGTCCAGCGCTGTTTAGCAAACTTTTAGAAATTTATAGCTCACTGACACCAAAATTTACCTTTCCTTGATAATAGCCTACATATTAAATCAATCATTTGATTATTTTTTGTAATTTTTTTAAAATTTATTTTATGTTTTCTTAGCAAACAAAACGAAAATAACAGCTAACCTTGCATATTTTTTAACAACTATTACTGAACAACCTGAAACCATTCATATCTCCATTTTTCATTTCAGCGTTATTTATTTTTTGTTCTAGCACTGTAATTTCTTTCCTTTTTAAAAAAATAATATTGATTTAACTTTGGCCAGCATGACAATAGGTTAGGGTGTGGGAAGCAAACTCGAGCAGATTTAGATTCAGCAATAGTTCAAATTTAATTACACAAGTAGATGAAGTTCAATCAATCCCATTTGACAAGACTTTAAGAATAAGATTTAGTGAAGCTGACAAAAAGAAGATAAATAAAAGTCCTGACATCATTACCATATCATATGTTTTCATTAATATATAATATTTTTTAATTTGACCAAAAATTTTTTTAAATTTCTAATGAAAAAAAAATTTAATTTATAGAATTTATTAGTCCATTGATTTTTCTCAAGACTGGCACCCACGAACTATGGTTCACTGAAGCAGATTTACCATGTAACTAGTCTGCCACAATTTATTTTGAAATTAATAATGTGTGTTAATTATACAGAATGTAAACTGAAGAAAAAACTAATGTATTAGACTTAGTGAAAACTATAAATCTTAGTTTAAAATATGAAATTGCATTAATTACTGTCTTGAACACTTCATTTTTATTCACAATTAACAACATCTTAGGTTTAAAAATGTTAGTCATCCATTAGAAAGAGTACAACATATACAGCATGAATATTGATCGCCAGTCATTAATAAGATATCTAAACATTAAACAATTTTCCGTAAAGGCAATTTTCTTAACCTAAACATAATATAACACAAAGAAATGGTGTTACCAACAAACCGTGTGTGGAACATTCTGATGTGGTCCTCTAAAAAATAGATGTTACTTGTCACAGATTTGGAGAGATAATTTGGATGTAATTTTTTTAAAAAGTATACTCAAAAAAAACAAAACTATGTAAATTCAAAGATTGGGAATGGCATCAAAATGAGGCCGTAAAAATTGCGTTTTGGCAAATGATTTTTCTAACGAAAAGAAAATATATATTATTCCTGTTGTTCTAAAAAATATANGATTTTATATTTGGACATTCGTAAATACGAATCATGATGCGTAATTTTTAGATTGCATAAATAAGAATTATGATGCAAAATCAATGTTTGATATTATAAACAGCATGAGCAAATCAAGACATTGAATTTTAAACTTGCGGGAATACGAATCGCTTCATATATTTTTAAAAAGGCGTAAATACGAAGCACGACGTACAATATTCAAATCGCGCGAATAAGAATCTCAACACGCAAATATGAAAAGCTATGTTTGATATTAAAATCGTGTGAATAAGAATCGAGATATTGGCAGACTCCAGGCTTGGGACCTCTAAATGGCTTGTCAAAAACAGCGTCGTTTGAACTACAAAAATCGGATCTATCTGGAGGGCGGGTAAAAAATTCGGAAAATCTTATCTGCTGCGAGTAAAAGGGGAGAAAATAGCTAAAATAAGTAAAAATGAGAAGGGATTGGTAGCTATGTAGTTTGAATTTTGTGTTTCTCTTTGAAAATGGGTGAGTTTTCTGAAAAAGCGGAATACCTATAAAAAAAAGTGAAATTTTTAGAAAAATCTGAATTTTTGATAAAAAGCTGAAATTCAAGAGATAAAAGTGAAAAAAGCGGAAATCAGCTATAAAGCGGAAAAATCTCATCCCTGATTTCAGCGTTATTTATTTTTTGTTCTAGCACTATAATTTCTTTCCTTTTTAAAAAAATAATATTGATTTAACTTTGGCCAGCATGACAATAGGTTAGGGTGTGGGAAGCAAACTCGAGCAGATTTAGATTCAGCAATAGTTCAAATTTAATTACACAAGTAGATGAAGTTCAATCAATCCCATTTGACAAGACTTTAAGAATAAGATTTAGTGAAGCTGACAAAAAGAAGATAAATAAAAGTCCTGACATCATTACCATATCATATGTTTTCATTAATATACAGTCAAACAGATCAAATAATTTCATTAATATATAGTGAACCTTCAAGGGACTGAAATTTTGGTTCACTATAATCGGGAGTTCACTATATCCGTTACTCAAGCAATTTAACTAATGGTTTCCAAACTCCTCAATTTTATTACACATTATTCAAATAAATGACTGAAAAATATTATGTAATAGCAAAAAATGTGTTATTTTTCATTACTCTTAGTCTTGCGTGCAACAAAAATTTTTTAATTTTTAGCTGATGAGCAATCCTCAACATCAGATATAGAAACACTTCTTGACTATCAGATAATTGTTCCTGAATTTCTATTATTCCGCTTTTTAAACCTGTCTAACCTGCCATTCGAGCATATAAAAGTAGTCTCGTAAAATCGCTTAGCAAATTCATCGACATTGGTGAACCACTTCAATAATGCTTCTTCAACATTCTTGTGATCTGCTTTTTTCAACTTTTTTCTGCCATCTAAATTTTTTTCATGAGCAGAAATTATTAATTGCCTATTTTTCCATATGTTACATATGTATTTGGATAGTTTATATTCCCTGCAAATATCAACTTGATTGCATCCATTTTCAATTTTTCTGATTATGCCCATTTTATCATCAATGGAGAACGTTTTACTGGTCGCCATACTTAAATTTGAGACACTTGTTTGCAGGATTTTTTTTAACTGAACTGAGAGCAAAAAGGAGTTGAAATGAGGGCCTTATCGATACATATTAGTGTCCCATCCTTTGAACAATAATGAATAATTACTCATTCCCTCTGACAGAAAATGCATATTGATCCCACTAACACCTTACAGGTGCATCATCTGCCTGAGTTGGAAACATCTGCTTGGTTTGCTTAGGGATGGGAAAGTGAGATAAAAGAAGAAAACAATAAAAAATGCTTATCGCTACATTCCTCTCTATAAATCGTTTTAAAACTCGGTATATGTATTTATTTTGAGGTAGAAATTTCAAAATTATTACAAAAAAAATTAAGAAAAAAATCAGTTGAAGACAGAAAAAAGTTCATTATATCCAACTTCCTCACTTTTTTGGTTCACTATATCCAAAAAAAAAATAACATTACACGTGTATAGCAAGGCACGGGACCGAACATTTCGTTCACTATATCCGGGAGTTCACAATAAACCGTGTTCACTGTATAATATTTTTCAATTTGACCAAAACATTTTTTAAATTTCTAATGAAAAAAAAATTTAATTTGATAGAATTTATTAGTCCATTGATTTTTCTCAAGACTGGCACCCATGAACTATGGTTCCCTGAAGCAGATTTACCACGTAACTAGTCTGCCACAATTTATTTTGAAATTAATAATGTGTGTTAATTATACAGAATGTAAACTGAAGAAAAAACTAATGTATTAGACTTAGTGAAAACTATAAATCTTAGTTTAAAATATGAAATTGCGTTAATTCAGTCTTGAACACTTCATTTTTATTCACAATTAATAACATCTTAGGTTTAAAAATGTTAGCCATCCAGTGGAAAGAGTACAACATATACAGCATGAATATTGATCGTCAGTCATTAATAAGATATCTAAACATTAAACAATTTTCCGTAAAGGCAATTTTCTTAACCTAAACATAATATAACACAAAGAAATGGTGTTACCAACAAACCGTGTGTGGAACATTCTGATGTGGTCCTCTAAAAAAGAGATGTTACTTGTGACAGATTTGGAGAGATAATTTGGATGTAATTGTTTTTTAAAGTATGCTCAAAAAAGACAACAAAACTATGTAAATTCAAAGATTTGGAATGGCATCAAAATGAGGCCGTAAAAATTGCGTTTTGGCAAATGATTTTTCTACCGAAAAGAAAATATATATTATTCCTGTTCTAAAAAATATAAAAGGGAGTTACTATATTTTTTCATTTAATTCAAATTATCATACATTTATTCAAAATTAAAATCCCGTATTTTTTTTATCAGATTACTTTAATTTCAGCTAGGTACGTCCCATAACCGATTAGAATTATATTAAGCCCAGATAATGTAAGAATAAAGAGATTGTGTAAACATGAGACAAACTACTGTAAAAACTGACTTTCTCTTTTTAAAGTTAAGTGTATTCTAATCTTTAGCATTTTTCAGATGTGTCTCATAAGTTCTCAATATGTCAGATGATAAAGAAGTGTTTGTTGAAAAATTAAATTTTAATTTTGTATGCAAAACATGCTTTAAAAGTTCTTTCTATTTGTAACACAAAATAATTTTGATTATTGTCATCTCTTAGTCTGAACCAACAAATTATAAGCATAAAATATGTTATACTGCTTAATATTGAGCAGATAGCTCTGTTACACATAATTATAAAAGACAATTTAATCAAAGAAGAATTAATAAGTTTTCTTACTATGACTGAATCGTCGGGGTTTGCTGCTAGCTGAAACACTACGTTGAACTTTAATGTGTGGTGGGGACTGACTATTACCAGAAGTTTCCGTAGGGGCCTTTAATGTGCGCAGTGATAAACTAGAACTGGATTGAGAATCGCAACTGTCATTCTGAAAAATAAATAAATATTTTAATAAATTAATAACACAAGTATAATTATATAACCTTCAATTAATGACAATTTTCAAGTATATAAAAATATTTCTGCTTGGTTTAAGAAGAAAAAAAACTTGGTTCAAAAACAAAATAACACTTGTGTTAGACAAGCTACGGCTACAACAATAACAGCATATAGAATAAGCATCATAAACTCGGGTAAATTTTACAAAATAAAGAAAATATTTTTTACTGAAAACACACAAATTAAAAGGTGAGGACAATACAGCAACAATTTTTTAAAAAAAATTTTGATACAACTCTTAAGTGCAAACCTTTGTATGCTATCTTGCAAGTTTCAAATGTGAATGTTTATAGATTCTTTATTTACAGGAAAATCCTTCCTTCCCTTCCTTCTTTAAAGCATAAAACAGGATGCGTAACCAAATCTTTCAACCAAAAATAAGCACCTTTTAAGCACTCAAAAAATATTTTTAAGTACTATATACATTAACAAAATGCAAAATAATTCTGAGACTTTAGATGATCATGATAAAATAACTATTTTCTGACAAAGAACTCTTTTCTTGATTATATTAGCCGTCATAAAATGATAGAGATTTTTCGGGTTCAATATCAGAGGGTGGAAAAGGAAGTCTGAAATTGAGAATATCTTGCAAAATGCACATGAGAAGGCAATAATCTCACCAAACCCAGCTCAGTAGACGCACATACGNATATTAGCCGTCATAAAATGATAGAGATTTTTCGGGTTCAATATCAGAGGGTGGAAAAGGAAGTCCTTGCAAAATGCACATGAGAAGGCAATAATCTCACCAAACCCAGCTCAGTAGACGCACATACGGACTCACAAGTATTTCATCAAACATGTAGAACGATTGGCGCTTTCATACGCTATGGACCGACGGTACGCCGAAATTAATTGCGAAAACGCTGAATAAAACAATCTGAAAAAGCGGGCTTTTGCATAATATGTGGCAAAAATCGACAAGGTAACGAAAAAATTCTCATTTTTGAAAAGGGAAAATTAGGCACTTTTTAAAAACACCCAATGAAAAAAGCACCTTTAAGGGCTTTTAAATAACAAAAATCGAAAATAAGCACCTTTAAAAAACGCTATACACCATGATAAGCGCTAAAGATGGCTATACTGTACTGATCAATAAAAATCAGAAGACTGCTCATGCTTATAATATTGTGAAAATGTAAAATAATAAACTAGCACATTTACCAAACATAAAAGTCTTAATGATTAGATTTACCTCAGTAGTCCTTTTGCCGAGAAGCAAATAATTTGCCATTATATCGTCATATTTCTTGCTCCTCAGTGAGTCATTTATCTCGTCTTGCGTATAGCCCATACCTAAGAGAATTTCTGCAAAAGAAATAATGGAAAAGAAAAGATTTAAAATAATATTTTTTTCCCTCCTAAGAGGATGCAAAGAAACATTTCATGGCAAATTCTGCACTTCTTTTAATTTAAAATAGAGGGAGAGAACAAATAAACCAAGTAAAATGCTGAGAAAATATTTTCAAAATACAAATTATGGTAAGATTCCACAGTGAGAAAGTAATTCTACAATAATTCGTTTGCATTTCAATATTTTTACAGCATTTGAAACTTTACTGTTTACATGAGCTAATTTTTTTCTTCTTCTTTTTTTTGTACTTCAAAATATTAACAGAGATGCGACAAAATGTGCCAGGAAAGGTTTCTTTCGTGATATAGCATCCTCTTAACCCAACACTGTATCATGAATAATGAAGGCATCACTTTAATTTTCTTTATTAAATAAGCTTTTATATTAAATTGTTATATTTAATATTGAATTTTGTTAAAAATAATAAACTTTACACACTTTAATTAAAAGACATTAAGTGCATAATTTGTGAAATACCTGTGTGTGTGTGTATATAATACACACACATGTATATACAGTGTAGGGTTAAACAAAGAATATTCATTAAATACATAATTTAAAAAATATGTATTTTTATGGCAAAAATATTTTGTTTAATATCAAAATTTAATGTTAAATTTGGTACCATTTCCCCATTAAAAATAATATCTTAAGAGTCATAAGAAACTATTAGTCATTTACTTGTTTTGAATGTTGAAAAGAAAAAACTCAAACATGGAAAATAATTAAATTTAAACTTTTGTTAGAAATTTATCAAATTCATATAAGAAAACTTAAAAATAATACATTTATCTAGACTTAAAAAAAACACTTTGGTTGACATTAAATTTTTTTAAACTGATAAAAGGACTCAATTTCATTAGAAATTTCTTTAAGAACTATCTTTAGGTCATTCAAAATTGTCTCTTTGGAAAAAAAAAACTTATAAAAAATTTCCCATTTTCAGTCGAACCTCGCTAACTCGAATCTCGATTTCACGAATTTTTCGATATCTCGTAGAAGAAAAAAAAAAATTCCCTTCAAATTTCCTATACACTCAATGTTAAAAAAAACTTGATTTTACGTATTTTTTCCTTCTAATCCCTTGATAACTTGAATTTTTTTCTCTCAATAAATAGTGTAGATTTATTTCTAAAATTAACAAAATATTCACAAAAAAAAGACAATTTAAGAATGGCTGACAAGGCATGGAATGATGCCTCGTCCTCTACAATAATTAATGGCTTCAAGAAGTCTGGATTGATTAAAGATTACAAAAGTATTCAAACAATCAATATCGTTAATTCTGCTGAAAACTACACCGAAAATGATTGGAACAGATTGACCGGACTCATGAAGCTTGATGACATGGAATTTCATGGATTGTAAACATAGAGGATACAGTAACAGTGTGTGGTGAGTGGGATGACAATGATATCATCGCTCAAATGAAAGCTTCTTGTGAAATAACAGAAGAGGATGAGGAAATCGAAGATTTACCGCCCAATGTTACTAACAAACAAGCACTTTCTGCAGTGGACACTGTAAGGAGATTTATAGAGAGACAGCCGAATACGTCAGAGGAGACATTTAAAGCTACAGTCCACTTAGAAAGTGTTATAGACAAACTTTCTTACACATGTCTAAAGCAAACAATCGAATCTTTTTTTTAAATGAAAGTGTAAAAAGTGTTTTTAAAGTAAATATGGAATAGTAAATAAGGTATGTAAAGATCATTTTTCTTTTTTCTACCATCGATAACATGCGATTTTTGATAATTCGAATTTTCGATATCTCTAATTTTTTCTCCTCTCCCTTCAAGTGCGAGATATCGAGGTTTGACTGTACTAATATTATGCCTTTAAAATATTTAAACAAAAAATCCTAATGTATAAGAATGATTTCATATTAAAAGTGCATGCTGTTACTAATAACAGAAGTTAACATGGGTGATTAAGCATAGCAATGCGTGCTCTACTGCATATTAATATTTGTTACAAGATTATTTGAGAAAAATGTTAAGAGAAAGATATAAAACCAGCTACCTACAATATAGCAGAAACATAATTCACCTTGCTTACCCATTCTTCTAGTGTCACTAAAGTCAGTTTCTGGTTCTATGTAAGGTTTCAGCTCTTCATCCTCATACCCTACATTCATCCATTTATCTTTCATTATAGCCTAAGAAATTATTTATTAATAAAATAATTCATGGATAGCAGAATTAATAAGCTAAACAAGAGTTAAATCAACTGAAGTATCATTCAAGTATAAAAGAAATACCTCTAAAGATGCTCTTTTGCTTGGATTTAAAACTAAAAATTTTTTAAGGAGATTCTCACAATCTGTCGACATGTAGAAGGGTATCCTATACTTTCCACGAAGAACACGTTCACGAAGTTCCTAAAAAGTATTAAACAGAATGTGATAGCTATAATAATTGGGTTAAAGACAACACATTTAATCTTTAATTTAATATTTTGTTAAAACAATTTAGTTCTAGCAATTAACTTTTGTTAAGTCAAAAGTTTTAAATAGAATTATCACTAAAATCTAAATAATGACAATGAAGTTCGAAATACTAATAGAAAACTTATAAATTTAAATCTGATATTTTTTTAGTATAACTTATTCAAACGGAAAGAATTTAGAGATAGGGTAAGCTATAAGCATTTTAATCAGGGGTAAAAGTTCAAAGAATTTTCTAACTGATTTTTTAATTTTAAAAAGAAAAGATTGTGCATTTTATGCAAATAATTTCAATGCAAATCTTTAAGCTTAAATTTTTCTTTTATGAAAATCGTATAAATAGGTTTAAGATAGAAAAAGAAATATATTTACGATTGCTTAAGAAATCAAATTCAAGTAAATAATCTTACCTTACATAAAAGTAACTTTCATAATTGGATAAGCAAAATTAACTTGCTCTTAAATATAAATATGTAATATATTAAATAAATGATTTGGATGCTTTTTTTTTGGGAGGGGGAGCATAAATGCTTGTGAATGCCTAACTCATAGTTAAGATAAACACAGTTCGACTGATGAAGCACAGCGACAAATTTTTTAATATTAAAAAAAAATGGCTCAGTCCAGGCTAGAGCTACAGAATTTTTTATAGCACCTTTTTTTGTATTTTGTTTCATCTCACTCAACCTTAAAATTTGTCAAAAAATTGGAAGTCAAAAGTCCAAGGATCTCACTCAAAATCAGAAAAAATTTTCTGACTTTACAGGTATATCAGGAAAATTTCAATGAAAATCAAGACCATATTTTATCTAAACCATGAAATTTTTCCTCAGAAAACTTTTATCGTTTTATCTGCAATGCCAAATATTAGATTTTTTAAGGAGGAAAAAACATCTTTGAATAAGAATGGAAACATGTCAGTTTCATTAAAATGTGGAACTTTTATAACAAATAATTGTAATAGATGTTGGAATTATTGAATTTAAATCTCAATAAATGATTACTGTTACTGACAATTTTAAGATTGATTATTTCCCAGGTATTATTAAAAANAAAATTCCAAGGATCTCACTCAAAATCAGAAAATTTTTTCTGACTTTACAGGTATATCAGGAAAATTTCAATGAAAATTAAGACCATATTTTATCTAAACCTTGAAATTTTTCCTCAGAAAAATTTTATCGTTTTATCTGCAATGCCAAATATTAGATTTTTTAAGGAGGAAAAAACATCTTTGAATAAGAATGGAAACATGTCAGTTTCATTAAAATGTGGAATTTTTATAACAAATAATTGTAATAGATGTTGGAATTATTGAATTTAAATCTCAATAACTGATTACTGTTACTGACAATTTTAAGATTGATTATTCCCCAGGTATTATTAAAAATTGCAATTTTCCTTGGCTATTCTCTGTTTTGTAAAGTTAAAACAAAATTCCATGACAATTCCAAATTTTCCTTGTCCTCCCTAACCCGTGCGAGCTCTGAAAGTCTGAAAATCTTATCTTTGATTTTCCTCACTCAAATTTATGAAAAATTCAAAAAGAAATAATGTAATTGAAATTAATTGCTAGAAAGTTTCCCTCTTAAAAGAAATATTTTACATTTATAATAATTTTCAGTTAATTTTTCACCTTAGTCAACATACTAGCAGCACATACATTTTTTAAATAAAAAAAAATTAAAATATAGAATTTTAAAAAAATAAAATATTTTAAAGAAATAAAATCTAAAAATATTTAAAAAATTTTTACATAAAAGAAATTACACAAATTGAATTTATTTAAGAAATAGTAGACAAATAACAAAATATAGAATATCAACTCACTTTGAAAGAAATTTATAAAATCATTTTTTATGAATAAGTAAACAATATTGAGTTAATGAAAAATTTCAATTATTATTAAAAGAAATATATATATGATGATGTAGACTTTTGTGATGAGAAGCAAGTAAATATGCACTACACAAAAATATAAATAAGTATAAATAAAATATATAAGTATACACCACAATATAAAAAAGTAATATATACACTACACCAAAAATAAGTAAATCTACCTTGAGGTTTGCTCCATCAAACGGCAGAGAACCACTAACAAGTGTGTAAAGAATAACACCCAAACTCCAAACGTCAACTTCAGGACCGTCATACTTTTTGCCTAAAAGAGATAATAAAGTAAGTTTGATTCTAAATGGTTTTTATCACTATTCAACTTATCTTTAAGGAAACAAACCTTGAAATAGCTCAGGAGCAGCATATGGAGGACTACCACAAAAGGTGTCTAATTTTTGTCCAGGAACAAATTCATTACTAAATCCAAAATCTGCTATTTTTATATTCATTTCGCCATCTAACAACAGATTTTCGGCCTAAAAAAAGAAAATAAATATCAAGTTTAAATCATTAACAAAAATAAATGTGTCACTTATTTTTACATCCATCTTACATCTTAAAAGTTTAAAAACTGTACCTAGACAACAACTATTTTTGAAATAACACTTAACTCACTAACATATAAAAAGCTTTACAAATTTTAACTATAAAGTGAGATCTTAAATAAATAAAAAACCAGTCTAATTTATGTCCAAATTACTTTCTTAACTTTAATTTCTTAACTGGTGAGAAATCTCTCAAAATATCTGAGTATTAAATTGCCTTAAATTTGACAAAAAAAACAAGTATCTTGAAAGTTCAGAGATATTACAAAAAAAACTTGAAAAGTTTTTGTTTCTATGGTTTTGTTGTTTGATGAAGTTTTTGTTTTTGAAAAACACTAATTCACTGACTTATTTGAATTTAACTTCCAAATAAAAACCATGGAAACGTCAAAACAATATTAGCACAAAATAAAAATTATAGTAATAATTTGCGCTTATGGTAAAAGATATTAGCACAAAATTACATTAAGAAGTGAAAAGCAGAAAAATCTGTATTTTGAAGTCAAAATCAAACAACACCAAGCCTTATTCTGAGAAAAGTTAAAAAAAAAAAAAAAAAATAATAATATCTTAGAGTGTATTTTTATTATTTAGCTCACTTTTTTTTTTAGATTTGAGCATTTTGCTAGTATGATTTTTTCTCTCTTTCTTATGCTGATAATTGGTTAGTAAAATAGGCCAATATTAGCCCAACAAATGTTATAAATTTAATGCCTTATTTCATTTTTGCAAAATCTTTTACTAAATTATACCAACTATCAAAGATAACATAGATAACTAACATTAAATTAACAAAAATGTGCAGAAACAAAAATACAAACCTTTAGATCCCTATGGATTATTCTCTTTTGATGACAATATTGCACAGCAGATACAATCTAACAAAGAAATATAAATATATAAAATATAATATAATATATAAATAAGTTTATAAGAACATATGTGTAAATAAACTGAGAAAAGCATTGTTATACCTGTCTAAATTTAGCTCTGGCTTCCTTTTCTTTCATTCTGCCATGTGCAACAAGATAATCAAATACTTCTCCTGCAATATACATGCAATATGTAACATAAATTGTAATGTAGTTAAAGCTAAATCCCATACTATGATCATGAAAATAAACGTACCTCCACTTGCATATTCCATAACCAAATATAGAGTCTTCTCAGTTTCGATTACTTGAAACAATTTAACTACAAGGCAATAACATAGCTGTCAATACTATTTTTTTAAATGAATAAAGCATTTTAACAATTATTTAAAGGGAAAAAAAGCTAATGTAGAAGATGAAAATATGAAGGAAAAAAAAAAGAAAAAGATTATGGATATTAGACAAAATATCTTAGGGCACAATCTTGAACGAAATATTTAGTGCAATGCTTAATATACCAGGGTTTCTGCTATGATAGTATTTTTAGTACAAGGCTGTGAAACTAACAACTCATGACAAAAATTAAGACATCTTGCATGAAATTCTTACGATAGATTCTACCTACTGCACGGAAAATATCCCCTCTCCCAGAAAAAAGAGAAAATTATGTGCTACAAACAAATAATGAAATTAACAAGAAAAACATAATACTCAAGACATGCAAAAAAAAAAACTTTTTTTTAAAGTGGAAATATTAAAATTTGAACTCAAATGAATATTTAACACATCAAGGCTTCTAGAATGGTAAATAAAGTCCTATTTTTAAGCCATCGTGTGGTATAAGAATTTTGTTTCAGCTTTTGCTAAAAAACTCATGACTTAAGCTTAAAATTTGCCTGAAAATTTCTTATAAGGATTTTATCATGAACTAAAGTAGACAATTCCAAATTAAAACTAAGTTTTAACAGTTTTGATACTTAATCCATTATTAGTAGAAAAAAATTATTTTTTTCACAATTAAATTCACAATGAGAAACTAGAAATGTGTTTCATACAGCTGACATTCAAAGAGATAATTAAAAAACAATTCTAAAATTATTATGAAAATAGTTGGAATTATTATTCTTACCAATATTTGGATGATCTAGAATCTTCATAATCCTAACTTCCCGGAAAAGCTGCAACAAAAAACATTTATTAGGAATGAAATTTTTTTTGATCAAGTGGCAAGCTGCATGCAATATTTTTACACAAACATATATGGAAAAAAAAAATTACAGCAATTTTGAATATTGAAAAAAAATTTAGTATGGGTTTAAAATACTGACTGTAAATTTTTTGACAGGGCTAAGAAGGTATTATACTGAATGGAAGGCAACAAATTTTTCCTCAAGAACTGATGTCTTCTTAAAATTACATAACTACCAAGCAGAAAAGACCAATAGCAGTCATTATCATGGACATATATGCTAAGTTTATATTGAAAAGAATTCAAAATTTTTAAATTTATATCTTTAGTAATATACTATTAAGGGACAAACAAGTTTTGTTTATGTCTCAGATGTAAGGCAAGACATCAAAAGGGTGATTTTCATCCCACAACTTGTTTTTATATATTTTATAACCTAGCCAACCCAATTTTGGGTTTACGATTACTAATGATCAACTCCGCAGCCTTGTAGTTTTGAACCAATCCAGAAGACAAGGAAACTCTTCGATCACTATCCCCAGAGGTATGATTTGTTATGGGAACATGGAGGACTTTGTGACTTGACAGATTTATTGTGCATCAGTCACCATTTACTACAGGGGGACTCTTCGGCAGGCGGGGATCGAACCCACGACCTCTTGGACCAACCTACCAACCAGGCTATCCTGGCCCTACAGCTTGTTTAATCTCTTCGGAAAGATATATTGTAAAAGCATTTGTACAATATTAAAATGGGAAAAAAAGTAGTAGCTTAAATGTGGGAATTGGTTATGTGACAGTCCTACTTTGTTTTCAGTCTAATCACATATTTAGTCAATGTTAACTCATAGTGTAATGCTTTAATTTTTTTTAAACTTTGAACTAAGTATTGCTAAATTAAATATATTAAACTATTTGAATCCCACATACAAATAAACTGCTTAAGAATTAGTTTGATTACCAGTTTCATCTTTTTACCCTGAACGATAACATTTCACACTGGCTTGTATTTGTGACAGTCTGCACAAAAGAGTTTGCTTTGGAAGTAAATCTTTTTCATTTATTAACATCAAAATAAAGTTTCAATTGTAAAAATATTTTTTTGCATAACTATAAAAAGCTAATTTACTTCCATTTTATAAATTATATAAAAATCCTAATATTATTACCTTTTGCAAACTGGATGGATTCAGTTGTGTTTTATCAATTATTTTAATGGCCACCTGAAACAAAAGTTGTAAGAATTAGTGAATTTTAGATGCATATTTATTTTTGCCATGCAGTTAACAACTAGGCATATAAAACTAGAATTAAGGAATATTACCTCTTTTCCTGTGGGAAGATGTTTAGCCAGTTTTACTTTTGCAAAATTGCCTTTGCCTATGGTTTTAAGAAGCCTATATCGACCGATATGAGGTTCTTCAGATGTTCGACTTCGACTTTGAGAATTTAACCCAAATACCCTGTGACGGTCTCCATCCTTAAAAAAATATATAGATTAATTCTTAGCCAACAAAATACAGTCACATACAAGCAAAAATAACAATAATAGCAAGATAAGCTAAAAATTCATAAATTTTAATTTTTATTTATTGAACATCAATCACAACTGCAAAACTCAAAAAGCAATGTTAACCACACTAGATTCTTCATCCATTATTTAAAAAATTTTATAACTAGGGTCTCTAAAATTACTAGTACCCACTAAACTAATATTCAGAATAGTATTAAATTTTGAAACGTTGAAACGTATTGTTTGAAAGTTGCTCTGTTATTTAGAAATCAATTCTATCAACAGTGTTGTCGTCTATGTATCAGACTGGAGTTTCTTTTTTGAATGATGTGTTATATGATAAAGAAAGAAAAAAAACAGATAAGCTGATAATTTCATTAAATTTAAATAGAATATATCTTTCGGCTAAAAAATTTAAAATTTAATAGATTGTTTTTATTTTTCAGCTAAACTATTAAACAATAAATCTTAATCAATTTTTAGCATACTGATATATGCTAAAAAATTGGTTATGAATATTGCAGTAGGAACAGCGTTCTCCCCAAGCGTATTTAGAAGGGCGGCCCACCCTGCCTTCCCTTTGATCCTTATTAATGCATCCTCTTTGCCTTTTTTTGTTAAAATAAGCAGTCATCCCTTAAAAACAATGCCTTTTTATTCATATTACACCTTTAAGAAAAGTGAATTAACTGTTAAAATAATTACACACAAAAATTATCTGAGATTGTAGGTTTAATCCTTACTATTACAAATACAGTACAGAAACCGTTATTCGGAAATCAGAAAACCAAAAAAGCAGAAGGAAATTCGATAAATTTTCTCGCCTTTTAACAAAAAATTTTTTTTTTTCCTCTTAAGATTTTACGATTCTTCTTTCTTTTTTTAAAGATGTTTAAATTACCATCATTTTGGAAATAATCATTAGCGTATTACTTCACCGTGTTTTCTTATTTGTAAGATGATTTCCACTTCTTTTTTAGTTGGGTTTAACAAAAAAAAAAATTTAAAAAAAACACGGCTTTTTGTAGAGATTCAGAAAACCGGAAAAATCAGTTATCCGGAATAGAGATGGTCCCGACCGTTCCGGATAATCGGTTCCCTACTGTATTTACTTTGTTGGGACTATTCTCAACTGGATACATTTTTATAAATTTCTCTTTTTACAAGGGGGTTAACAAGTTTAAGTGATTTCAAATTTTAAAATTATTTTTTAAATAAATACCTTTTAAAAAAAAATGCACCTTTAAAGGTTTATTTTCCAGGTATTTTAAGTATAAACTATGGAAAAATCTTTCAAACTGTTTATAAAAAAATTTTTTTTTTTAGTTTACTTTTTCTTTTTTTTGGAAATCTTGCCTTTCTCTAGCTTGCCTGTCTCTAAGCTTCTCTTAGCTTGCCTTTCATTACTATAAATAAACTGCAATTTTTCTCTTATTTTAGATAACGAATTATAATTATTTGTTGAAATATATAAATAAAATAGTATAAGCTGGTAATTTAAAAATTATTGAGGATAAATTTAGTTATTCCATGATATTACACATTATGATAAATTTTTACTGTGCTGAGTGATTGCCTTTTCAAAATGCTGTGAAGAAGCACCCTGCCCCCCCTTTTTTTTTATTCCTCATGTTTTAAGTGATTTTCCACCAAAAAACAAAAAACTTATCTCAAACATTGTTTTTAATGCTTCATTTAAGAATAAAAAGTACAAACTGTAATTAGATCAAGAAAATGCTGGAAAAAAAACAAAAACAAAAAACAGATACTTAGGATAATTTTTTATACTATTCTAGTAATTCTGTTCAGAAAATAACCTCTAATGTTTTGCACAGAAAATAATTAATCATTCACATATTTATTATAATAAAGGGTTTAAAACGAATGGTNAAAAATACGATAATTTTAAAAGATGTTATAGCCATATTTATCATGGATTTTTTTAAAATATTATTTAATATAATATTATATTATTTTTATATTATAATATATTAATATTATAGTTTTGTCAAAATTTAACAAAACTAAATAAATGTAATAAATGTTAATACTTCACATGGTATTACAAAATTTTGTGCATAAATTTAAATTAAAAAAGAATTTTATGTTTTGCTATTGTTTCTTTATTTATCCTTTTTTTTAATTTCGAAATCTTAATTGTATTATTCTTAAAAAAAAAATTACAGCTTGCCAATAAAAAATTTTTAAAATTATCTTTAATATCTTTTTATTCGTTTCTTTTTGTTAAATTTATACAGATAGTTCTATATATGTTTAAGCTCATATAAGTTTCAAAGATTTTAATAGCATTCTTTAAAAAATAGCCCATAACATTTTAAAAATTATAAAATTAGTTACATTTTATTCTTTTTATAACAAAAATTAAGAATTTATAAATAAAATTTGAGAATTATTATTAAATTAATGAATTATAAAGAAAATAAGGAAATTCTAAGAAATTTGAATAGTGAATTAAGTACTGAAGTCATTTTTCAAAACTAATGATGGTGTAAAAATGGTTCAACATTCTTTCTCAGAATTCATGAATGTTTCATTTCATAAACTAACCCTGCATCTAAACAGAACTTTTCACTATGTATGCTGGTAAGAAAAGTTTTTTAGAGCTATAAAATAGAGAATAATTGTAAGTTGCTAATCAATTAAATTTCTTACTATGACTCTTTCGACAGATTATTATCTAGCTTTTTAATATTTTCAGACTAACTTAACCCCTTGTCAGATTTTTTTCTTTGAAATTCCACCCCCCCCCTAAAAAAAAAATTGGGTTGGAATTTCGAATTTGGGTTGGAATTTCTTTTTTTTGTGGCCAGGCAATTTTTTGTTTGACCTATTGGTGGTTGAAATATGTGATGTCTCATCCACTGATCTCTAGTTTTTGCTGCATTACACCCGATTTTTATCTTTAAAAAAAAAAAAAAAAAAAAAANAGTTTAAAAAAAAAAAAAAAAAAAAACACTGTTATAACTTTCTTATTAAATCTATTGCTTTAAAATTTTGAAGATAAATATCTGCATAAAATTACTAAAATTAGGTAAAATATTTCATATAATAATTTTCACTTCATAAATCAGAGCTATCATTTTCCGATTGAGAGATAATAAATTCACTGTCCTTAGACTCACTCTCTGAATAAATCATAACTATTATGACATACAACGGTAACACTAATCAAAGCAAAATAATAGAAAATACAAAATGAATTTGATTTTAATTCAAACTGGGAAATCTCAATGTGAAAATTGTGAAGAAAGTGGAACTAGTTACGTTATCTTTTAGCAATATTCAGAAATACAAATATTATCAGAATTCAGAAATACAAAGAGATGTGCAAGTAGTCATGTATTAAATTTCAATGATGCAATTTTCTTCTCTGGCTTTCTTGAACATTAAATTAAAGAAGAGTTATTCAAATTTTTGTTGCTTTGTTTCTTGAAAGAGATCAAAGTATTTGTTTACAATTATTGCATTTTACTGATTTAAAGCATAGAATATATGCAAATTTAAAAAGAAGCGGTCTCAAAATCTTTAATTATCAAAAATCCCTGAAATAAAAAAAGATGTTTAAATCTTAAAAAAATTTGTTACAATTACAGAACAAGCTCACTTTTTAAATTGTAACAAGAATTGTAATTTGGCATAATCAAATTGAAAAGAAAAAGTTTAGCAGAGAACAATATCTTTACTTGCCATTAGCAATCAAACATTTAGGGCTGGCGAGTAAATTTTGTTGGATGAAGTTTAAGATTTTGGTTGCGTTTTAAATCAAACTATTATATTTTTTATACACTATAGGTCAAACTGACACATTAAAGTAAAGATAGCATACAATACAATAACTCTTTGTAGCCTAAGAAGACGCTTCATAATTTGCTTAGAATTTGATTAAATAGACCAACTCCCTAAATAGTTTAGCCTTTCAAAACTAAAAGGGATATCTATGACCCACCTGTAACTATTAAAAATACCAGATCAAAAGTCATCCCCTCAATTAGGACTTCTTCTATGGTTCAGAAAATATATACCTACTAAAATTTTTAAAAATAATTTACATACATTTTCTTTTCATTATTTCTTTGGAAAAAACCATCAATTAATGAACTCAGACAAAAAAAAAATTACCCTAAAGAATATATATGTATAAATTAATACATAAAACTTTTTTAAACATAAGATTAAAAAAAAATCAATTCATTTAAATCAATGATTTTAAAAAAAAAAAATCAAGTTATTTAAATCATGTCAATCCAGAACAAATTCAACAACTAACATTACATGAACTCTAGAACCAATTCAATGTTATCTGTGTTGATGTATCTTCATTACAGGCCTACATTTTTTAATAGCTAATTCACATGAATTTTTATTTGAAGTAAAAAGTTAGAATAAAAATAAAATCAACAAGACAAAAATTACATTTCCTTATTCAAAGAAAGGTTTGATATTAAAACTTTAACTGTAGATCATCAATATACATAAAAAGACACAAGGGAGAATACTAGCTCTAAACTCAGATGTTTAAATAGTTAGAACTTTAAAAAAAAAAAATTACAAATATTAAGTTTTAAAAAAAATCAGAACACAGACCGCTGGTTTGAATAGCAAAAGTGCCTCGTTTCCAAAACTAAGATTGCCTAACATACATGAAATAGGAATTAAACAAAATTATAATATCTATAAAATTTTTAAAAAATAAAAGAATAGTAACTGACCTTTTATATACTTAAAAAAGAAACAGGAAAATTCCTGTTCAATAGACACCAACAGTTAGTCACATAATAAACACTGCATTGTCCTTCATCTCAATGAGGTATCTTTCTCTTGGACTTGAATATCATTTTTCATACACTAAAAATATCATATCTTCAAAATCTAGAAAATATTAATAGTTAAATAAAAATATATATAAATATATTATTTGGATATCACAACATTGAAATATAATTTGTAACATTAGTAACATTAGAGACCCCGTTTGCTGACGCTCCCAAATCCTCTAGATTGCCGAACAATGTTATATGGTTTCCCTTGCAAACCAGGCTTGTTAATAAATAAACCCTTATGAAATGTATTCTAGTTTAAAATTTAAAGTATTTAAATCAATTATAGAATATTTAAAACTAATTTCTAAGATATTAAAATTTTTAGTCAATAAGTTATTTAAATAAAAAAATTGAAATTGAAATAACCTGCAATAAAAAAAATTACATAAACAAAACAATTATGCTTCTAAAAACAACATATTTTTCTTATGCTACTCATAAGGCATAACAGCATGACTAATACTCATTTTTCACTGAATAACAATAACAATGAACAAATTATGTAACCTGCATAAATATAATTAAAACATAATACAAAACACTCATTAGTTTGTTCATTCTAAACATTTGCTTTTAGTTTTTCAATAATTTCCCCAAATTTATAGCAAGCTTATTCAAGCAAATCTACATGAGAAAAGGAAAAGAATTTTCATTCAGAAATTTGTAAGCATGCATGTTCTACTCTTTCGTGCTTATGACAGCTTGCATACTTGAAATTTCAATACTTTGTTACCATAAAAGAAATAGAAATATATCTAGATTAGAGCCACTGAATTAGACAGGCCAACTTATTTACTTTTGGAGCAAGGAGCTAATGCACATAAGCAAATGACGTAACTAATACTAACATAACGTTAACTTGCGAACTTGTTTGCCTTAATCTAGATTAGTAATAAATATAATATATTTCAGTTAATTTATCTGACATAGTGAAAGAAAAATAATTAAGTAATAAAGTACGTGCAAGAAACTTTTTTTGATCAAATAGAGCTCTAAGCGTGCAGATATCTTTAAAATATTTGAAAAATTGAATTGTCTAAAGTTACAGTTAAAACAATGACTATCACTTAACCAAATTTTTTGTTGCTCATCACACTCGAACTGTTTATCGTAGAATGTTTTTATGTTTCAAACTATCTGATTGTCAAATTTTATTACTTTCAGTTAGATAGTTTAGGAGTCTATAAATGACATGCACATGCAGACATTCATTTATATATATTTCAACTAGAATGAAAATTGTAATATTTAAACTCATTGTAGTTAACAATTAAGTTTATGAAATGTAATTAACTTGCATTTGACTTCAATAGTTGCAAATCAGACAATAAATATTGACTGTTGTTTGGAACCATGTTAAATACTTTAATAGCTAAACATAAAAAATCTTATTTTGACTTATAGCCATTTAAAATAATCTAACAGACAAGTTTTTTTAAAAAAATTTTTTTAGTTTAGTTTACTAGATACTAACAGCATTTTTTTTAAATCCACCTTATCTAGAAAATATACTTATTAGATAAAATAATTAATTTCAATTAGCTATATTTCATTGTTTAAATGTCTATAGCTTCTGTTAAGGACCTCTTTTTAAGTATCATTAAAACTAGACTCAAAAGAATACCTTTTCTAAAAAATATTCTCAGTTTTGAAAAAATCATTAAATTTACTGATCATGATGTTTCATTTCTAAGTTAGTTGAACTAAAAAACCAATCATCAAATTCTTACATTTATGAAGTCAACTTGTACATTTATACAGAAACACTAATAAAAAATTTAAAAAAAAGCAAATTCAGATGGCTCAAACTTAATATTAATTAATTAACACTATAAAAATGGTAATGGATAATTTACAAGACTGACTTGGGAAAATTTGTCTTCTTAATCTTAAAATGCTGCTTTTAAAAATCACAATTGACCTGACTAAAAAAAAGTAATATTTATGTATAATTCATTTAACATAACAATTCAACACACATAATCCAAGTTTTATTTTAAAGGGTCCAATTTTGAAAGATTTAAAATAGTTTGAAAATACTAAGCAGCAACACTAGAGCAATTACTTCGAGAACTATATTGGTTATTATAAATAAACATGAATATTGAGGTGTTATATCATTAAATAAAAATTAATTAGCAAGTTATTATAAAAGACATCTTAGAAAAAAATAACTATTTTTTTAAATAAAATAATTTCTATTTTAAATAATTAATATCTTAAATAAGATAAGTGAGAATACACCTCTGCATTCTTCACATTTAAATCTAAAATATTTTCATATACATCATAATTAGTTTCCCACTTTTATTACTATATTTTAATTTTTGGCAATGAGGATACAAAATTTCCACTTTAGATAATGATACAAACCTACAATTAATTTGCGCAACACATATTCGAAATTATGAACTTTATTTCAATTCTCAAACAGCAATAAATATATGTAATCAAGCCAAAATGTTTATCTTTGAAGTTTCATGTTACTGGTATACGATTATTAGCTTCATTATTAACAAATCAATAGCTTTCTTTGTTGTTTTTTTTTAACATTTTCAATTTATATGTACTATTCTATTTACAAAATATTTCTTTTAAAACAAATAGCTAATTTAATTTTTATAAGTGACCAGATAAATAGAAATCGTGATTTTACAAGAAATTTCCTGCATTAAGTTTATTAGGTATTCTCATAAAGAATCAGGAAGATACTAATTGCACTAACACAAAAAACATCTATTGCAAAACAACAATCACATCCAATAAGAGTAAAGAAAAATAACTTCTTTACAAAATGAAATGTTAAAATGGATTCATATATGAAAAAAGTTAAATACAATGAAGTGTATAGTTGAAGCTATACAATTATCAATTACAACAGCATTCAGTAGCTAACTTATTACATTGAAAATACCAAATCTTGTACAGGAAAGCTAAAAAATTTGCTGTAAGACTTGATAACACTGCTAATGTTAAATGTAAGAAGTGTAAAAATAAACCTTTGTATCAAATATACTGGCATTACTTACTGATGGCAAATTAATAAAGTTAAAGACAAAATAACTTAAATAAAAAAAGTATATATTTCAACAAGTTAAAAATGTTTCAAGAATTTTAATGAAATCAGTGAAGTGTATCAATTACATTAACACATAATACTTTAAGAACAAACCATAACATTCTTGCATTATTGATTTGCACCTACATGACCCAATAAATTAATCATTTTATTTCAATTTGAAAGAGATAGATGAATTTCATGCGAGCTTGCAACAATTTATTGTAGAAAAAAAATTAAGTACTGTTGCACAGCTGACAATTTATGCTTTGACACCAAAATGTTTTTAATTCACCAAACAGTTTGTTAAGAGATGTTACTAAGAACAAAAAGTAAACATTAGGCTCCAACAGCTAATAAATTTATGCATCAACGAAATATCTACAGAAGATCAATTTAATATTTTTATTTTAGTTAGGCTTACGCTTCTAATGAAGAGGTCACGAAATAAACAAGATTAGCTAACCGGAATAGACGAGATTTATAAGTAGATAACAACTTTACGACATCTTTGGAAGACAGGGAATACGGAGATGCATATAACAAAATTAAAAAGCCGCTGAAGAAATTTAAAGGGCACGATTTTGAGAAAAACAGGAATGTCTACGTACCAATATGGCGGTCCGGATAACACGGAATCAGGGTATTGGCAACTTGTGAAGGTACAAAGATCTACGTTCAGGGCTAAACACTCCCCTAGAACCTCAACTTGCTGGCACTGTCCGATGGAAGAGCCGTGGATGAGTCATTCAATTACGTCACTCGTGTAGGATAGAAGGGTCATGAAACTCCAAATATAATTTTTTAAATTGTTTAATTGACTAACTCATCTTCTAATAGCAGTATTATGAAAATTAGGTTTTATAATCATATCTATATTGGGTCAAGGTGAATTCAAATCGTAATTTCTTCATAAACAATGTTTCGCATGCTCTTTTTTTGAACTACTTATTTTAAAACTTATGCTTCATGTTTATAAAAATCAAATATTTTTCTCAAAAATATTGTGGTGATTGCAAATATCTTTAATTTAAAAATGGTCTTGCATTTCATTTTAATCCTTTCGTTAAAAATACTTAACGAAACAAGTAAAAAGGGAAAATCTCAGAATGTAGGGTTTCAGGCCTTGCGCAAGGCGGCGAATTATTTTTTAAGGCATAGATGGCAATAATACGAGCTTTTGTTTCTGTCGTCATCATCTGATCTGAAAATGGCGGAGAGCGAGTTGAACGTCGATAGTATTATTTCAAGGTTATTGGAAGGTAAACGGCTGTTAAAAATAATATGTAGATTAAAATGTATTAATATGGATTCTCCAAAATGTATTCAATTGAGAAACATTTGGTTCAATTGAAAAGATTGCCTAAAAATTCTGTTGTGATTCATAAAGTATAATTCAAAACAACAGAAGTTCGTAATATTTACGATATTAAATATTGAAACATCGTATAAGTATACATTAGCATGCAATTTAATTTAGGTCAATACAATTTTAAATACCACAGAATTTATTTGCATACTTCAGAATGTTAAAAGTTGTAATTTTTTTATTTGATCTAGAATATTGACATTTTTCTGATTTGTTTACCAAATAGAAAACGATGTTTTCCTGTTAATGAATTTACAAAGAATAACTAGTTTTGTTAAACTAAGCTTGCAAAACCTTGTACTTTTCCTGAATTTAGCATGATGTTAACCCAATTATATGCAGTTTTTTTTTTTTCTTCTCATTTAACACAGCGACAATAAAGATCATGTAGTTTGTAAATATAAATTTTTGTATGTAGTTTATTGTTAAATGTTCATGGTAATAAATTCATATTAAATGGCGTAGTATGAAGAGAAAATTTTTTATTTTGGCAGAGCATTATTTATATGGTCTGTAAAATTACCAAAACTGATTCTGATTACTATTTACTCTGTAATATAATATCGAAAATACTCAACTACTTATTTGCTGTAGGTTCACTGAAATCTGCTATTTAGCTTTCTAAGGGATTTAATTGGTCACATTTACTTTTTCTACTAAAAATTCTTCCTTTATTTGTAAGAAACTTTAATCATATAAATGTTGGTTAGAATGTAGAAAAGACACCTCTTGAATTAGGCTTTGTATTGTAGCTTGGAGCTTATGCTGGTTATGAAACCTTCTATTTTTCTGTTATTTTTAACACAATTTCTTATAAGAAAATCCTACGTATTTGCGTTTTCCCTGTTTTCTGTAAGAATTAAAAATAATAGCCGTATGAAAGTCTCACTATTGTAAATTTTTCCCCAGACATTTTAGAAATCTAAAAAAAAAACTTAGAAATGAATTTCTAAAGTTTTGTTATTTAAATTGAAAGTTATAACTGTTTGAAAGCAATTTTTGATACTTTTTTAATTCTACAGCACAAGTAAATTCAGTTCTTTTTTTAAATTTTTTCTTTTTAATAGACATTACGGAAAAATAATTTACATAAACCCAGTGACTTTTCATTGGCAGCATTATTGCTTGTGTAGCAAAGGTTCTTAGTGATGTTTCACTTTATTATAAATATGAGCCTCAAAATTAATATGTTGCTTTAGTGCGGCTTTTTTTGCTACTTTTCTGGAATTTATCTACTCTTATATTTGTAAAGTTATTACTTTATGGTATTTTAATTTGGCATTGCTCATTTGTTGATTGAGGTACTTTTAAGATTTTCATAAAAAAACATCTGTCTTCATTAACATAACATTAAACTTATTCATTATTTGATTGTAAATAGATATTTATCATAAATCTGATTTCTAAGTTAGCTATAGAAAGACTGTGTAGCCTAAATTATTTTTAATGTATGGTGCTATAATTTTCTTGTAGTATGAAAATTTTCAATTCATTTTTCACATATTTCCTCATTTGTGGTATAGTGCACTGACTTTATATTAGTTAATGTCATGAAAATAGATTCAATATAATTTATAAATTTTTTTCCTTGCTTTGAATGAAAAACATTTTAAGAATTTTTAATTTTTTTTTATTCTTAAATTGAAAATGATTAAAAAATCAAAGGTAATGCCTTACCTTTATTTCTTGTCCACTATCTTCCATTTTGTTAAGAAAATTGGCCTTTAAAAAATCTCCTTCTTGAAGTAATACTCTGCCATAAGGGTTTTCTGAGATTGTTCCGAAAAGAACTAAGAGCCTCAGAAACTGCCATTTACTACTTTTATCAACAAAGATTTAAAGGTTAAATAAAATAATGTTGTATATATATAGTAAACTTAAACAAGATTTTTTTGTCATGAAGTTTATTTTAAAAAAAAAACTTTTAAAAGCCAGAATTATGAATTTAGTGTTAAAATAATATACATTATGCTATGATGTTCATATTTTTAACTTTCAGTTCGAGGGTGTAGGCCTGGCAAAACAGTTCAGCTCACCGAAGCTGAAGTACGTGGATTATGCTTGAAATCTAGAGAAATTTTTCTTAGCCAGCCTATTTTATTGGAACTGGAGGCTCCACTCAAAATTTGTGGTAAGTATAATCTACATTTGTAATTGAAACTTTTCTATAATAATGATAAAATTCTTAGATAAAAGATGTTTGTTTAATTTAACAAAGAAATTTGTTCAATTTATGTATTCTGCAATATATTGCTGGTTGTAAGTATCACATAGGTCACATTGAGGAAGTGTCAGTTTTTGTTGCCGAAATTTATTTTCATAGAGTTGTTATTTAATATTTAATTTTTTTGTTGAAAATAAGGAATGGCAATGAAAATTCATAATACAATCAGAAATTAAAATCATGTAAAGTAGTGATTCCCAACTTATTTTCTTAGTGTTCATAGTTGTCCTGATATGCCTGTAAAAAATATTCTGTTCTTAATTTTTAACTTTTCAGAGGGCTTTTTAGAAGAAATTTGGGTCCGTTAACGGACCATTCACAAAATATTTTAGCCTAAAAACAGACCCTTCACAAAATGATTTTTCTTTTAATCAGACCCTTCACAAATTTGTTTATCTTCATTATTGTTTTGCTAATTGAATAAACCTTTCCCAGAGGTGGGGGGAGAAAGACAGATGTAAACGAACTAAATTTTGTCTTCGGCAGACACTTCTTCCTTTATTTGTCCGAAAAGAATATTCTGCGTTTAGCAGTATAGACTAAATATCAAATATTTGTATGTTACAACTCTAATTTAGAAGCTGCAATTGCTGTTTATTTTTTAAAATTAAATTTTTTTTATTATAATTTTACTGTGCTGAGCATAATCTTGTATCTATTTACAATTTAAAAACTCCTTGAAAAAGTTTTTTGCTATAACCGGACCCAATTTGCACAAGTTCATAAAAGCTAGACCCTGGTTGAAGGAATGAGAATAATTTTTTCACAATTTCACAAAAACAGGACCTTTCACAAAATATCTGGACAGACCCCTGCTTTTTGTCCTGATTTTCCTTATTTTTGGTTATGTTGAGAACATCCCATTTTCTAAACATACAAATGGAGATTTTTAAAATATAGATAATTAAAAGATTTAGATCTTTAATCCAACATCTTTTTGTTCTAGTTAATAATACTGTAGAGAACCAATTATCCGGGATGCTCAGGACCATCACTGTCCCAGATGTCTGAATTTCTCGGTTTTCCCGAATCGGCCAAAAAATAACGTTAATCAATGTTTTATTCAACCCAAATTACGATGAAAGAGTAACACATTTTAAAATAAGGGGTAAAAAAAAAACTTTCCTAAATTTAATAAGAAATGGTAGAAAAATAATATTTAAAAGAATAAAAACATTTACAAGTTTAGATAAGAAATGCAAATATTAAAACCCGACCAAGACAGAATATTACAAAATCAACTGAATTAAAAAAGAAACTTAATTTTAAAATTTATGAATAAAGATCTAATTTATTGAGTATGAAATTTATTGTGAACAGTAGAAAAGCGGAAGAAAAAACTTCATAAAATAATCGTCTGCTATTAGTAATAAATAATTGTATGGTCAGATTAATAAACAAAAACAATATTCTCCTTAATTTTTTCCTGGCAGGTTCATTGTGTAATGAAACTGATTTCACCTTTTTCCTGGTTTTGAATATCAGCGTAAGTTGAAGCAAATATAGGCAACAAAACATTTATGAAGCTCCACCAATCACAAGTTGTAAAATAGAATTACTCAGCTAATAACTCTATAAATTATGAAAATTTAAAATCGATAACAGAAGTGTTAGGCAAAATTTACTTTTAGTGTGGTTTTATTTTTTTCTTTTGAATAGCCCTAACCTTCTTAATAAATTAGTCAGATTTAGGTTACATTAAATAGTCTTGTGAATCTCATTTGTTTTCTTTTTATTTAAATTTCTAGAAATGAATGTTGTTTATGTTTGTATGCAGGAGATATTCATGGACAATATACAGATCTTCTTAGGCTTTTTGAGTATGGAGGTTTTCCACCTGAAGCCAATTACTTGTTTCTTGGTGATTATGTAGACAGAGGAAAACAATCTCTTGAAACTATCTGCTTACTCTTAGCATATAAAATAAAGTATCCAGAAAATTTCTTCCTTCTTCGTGGTAATCACGAATGTGCTAGCATCAACAGAATCTATGGTTTTTATGATGAATGTAAGTAATGAGATATATTTGTTGTTTTCAGATTATTATTTTTTTATCGACAATTAAAGTTTTCAAATGCTGTATGTAACTGGTATTATAATAAGTTTGTTTGTAAAGAAGCTTAAAGTAAAAAATGCTAAAACATGTGCCGTAAGTTCCCTAGCAACAATTTCATCTTGACTCTAGTATGGCTCAATATGGGTCCAATATGAACATGCACAAAGGGACCAATATTGGGGTGTCTTGATTTTTTACTATTGGTCCTATATAAGGCAAATATTGCCCTTTATGGGGCTAATATAGAGCCTATATTCGCTGAAAAATGAATATAAAATATTGGGTGAATCTAACAATTCTATATATCGTCTATATTGGTTGTAAAGTGGCTGTAAAATATTGAGTGAATTGGACAATTCTATATAGGACCATCATTGGAAAAATAATGGTATTTCGATCCCTTATTGGGCCAATATTTGCGAATATTGGTCCAATAACTTGTGCCCTCATTGGGCCAATATTCGCAAATATTGGCCCAATGAGGGCACAAGTTATTTTGCTGATAGGATTGCTGAACAATTTATATGCCTGTTACACGATGAAGATTTTATATATTAGTTGAATTTAATATGTAGGCATTTGTATGTAATTTGATATTTATAACTCATTAAGATTCCCTTTTTCTTCTTTTTTTTTTGAAAATTTAGTTATTTGTTTTCAAAAAGTGGTAATAATTTAATTTGTTTGATTGGTTTATTTTTGATAATACCTGCAGAACATTAGATATAATTCTGCTCCAGAATGTGCAGCATGTCCTCATCTGGACCTTGCTCCACTAAACCCTACATTCAATCTGCTCCAGAATGGTTTGTAATAACTCAAAGATGCACGAAACTTTAATATCAGAACTGTTTTAAAAAGGCACAATACCTTAACTAATAACAATTAAAAGGATATAATACAGGTAAAATCTACTTTATAGGATCATTATAAAAGTCTAGCTCAAAATAATTCTTTTTTTCAATTATTAGTTACCATTTTTATTTCATAAGCGTGGTCTTGATTTAGTTGAACATAACTTTGATTTATGCAATATTGACAGATCCATTGTAGAATGCTCATTGAGTAGATTCATTAAAAAAATTTTTTTATTTAACTCCAGCAGTAGTATAACAGTTGTTTTGACTTTCGCTTTTCTGGATAAACACACCTAGTTGCATACTAAGTACCTAAACCATTAACAAAGGTTAAAATAAGAACAGTCTTAAGTATCAGGAATGCCTACAATGTTTACATACAATTAAGATTCTCCCCAGTATGGTGACAATTGTCGCCAAATGTTTTAAGAATGTCTCTAAAATCATGCACATGGGTGACAGAATCATTGCCTTAAAATATGTTTGAAAGTGCAAAATAGTAATAAAAATGTCTCTCTTTTTCTGTCATTAAAGACCAGGCATTAAAAAAAAAAATTGTGCTAATTTTATGCGTAGGTTAGACTTTCTCTGATTTACTCATTTATTTATTTAGTCTCTGTATTTTAATCTATTTTAGCTTTTCGTTTTTTCACTTAATTTTAATAAACTCTGATCTTCAATCATTACGGGGTAATGAACCGAACTAGTTTCTGGGTGTAATAGATGGCAATTAATAACCTTTGATGTGTACACCATAACATGATTTATGCAATTGTAAAGTTCAATATTTTTTCCTCTCAAGTTTATCTTCTATATTAATTTTTTGAACCACGAACTGAATACCTAGATGGTCCTATTGATTTGCTAAATTTTAAATGTATTGATTTGCTGAATTTTAAATGCTGGTATAAACCCTACATATAAACAAGAATATAAATAGCAAAGTCAACTCTTATAGTAATTGCATAGCTACTTGCAGTAGAATGGGTAAAATAAGTTCTCTGAAATCACATATATCTGAAGAAATCCATGAAATAATAATTTTCAAATATTTCACGAAACTCATAAAAATGAATCCAGGATTTTGCTGGAAAATTCTTAAAACTTCCAGAATTTTTGAAAAATTTAGAAAAGTTAGGCTTTGTATAAAAATAATTATTTGAAAACAGAATTTTATTGTTGAATAACAGTTTGTTAAATTTCAAATTAATAATAGTTTTGTAAACCTAACACATTTGTTTTAGTTTTTTCTTTCTTTACTTTTTACTTGTGTATTAGACATTATTTTGTGCAATCATTGTTAGCAATTTTCTTTTTCTTATATAGGTAAGAGACGTTATAATATCAAGCTATGGAAAACATTTACTGATTGTTTTAATTGTTTGCCTATTGCCGCCATAATTGATGAAAAAATATTTTGTTGCCATGGAGGTATGGAATTTTCTTACATTAAAAAATTACATACTTTTTATTTTATTTTAGTTTATATAACCTGTGAGATAATTACCATTTTATTTTCATAAGTTATTCTGCAAATATTTATATTAATTCATATATATTATATTATATTTATATTAATTCAGGAATATTCATTTATTACGAAATTTTTAGACCTTTATGCTGTTGTTAACCAATATGTTATATATCATTTTTGTGTTCAAAAAATTACAAAAAAAAAAATATCTGATTAGGTCTTTCTCCGGATTTGCAATCTATGGAGCAAATCAGAAGGATTATGAGGCCCACTGATGTTCCTGACACAGGTGACAAAATATTTGCAAATTCTACAGTTGATTTCTGTTTTAAAATTAAAAACTTAGTAGAAATGAATTCCTTTTGAATATTTTATTTATTTTTAAGGTCTGTTATGTGATTTGTTGTGGTCCGATCCTGACAAAGATGTTCAAGGTTGGGGTGAAAATGACCGTGGTGTGTCTTTCACATTTGGTGCTGATGTTGTCAGCAAATTCCTCAATCGGCATGATTTAGATCTCATATGTAGAGCCCATCAGGTATAACTTCAAGTGTGAAACTTTAAAATAAAATTTTAAGATAGGTTACCTCCTCTCTTCTCAAATCTGCAAACCTACCCATTCGACAAATGTAATTCGTATATTAAAATTGCTTTTGATCAATAAAATATATCAAAGGAAAAAATAAAAATATAGTTATTTTATCTATAAGTTTTCAATCTGCACTTGGCTTGGCATGTGAGGATGCATGATAATTTAATTCGTATGGTTCTGTTAAAAAGAGTAATAAAAAAATAAAGGTTTGAATTGTACAATGTTGCCAAGTAAAATAGTGAAACAGAAAAGTCTTAATTTGCATGTCAAGTGGAGTTGTAAAGTTATATAAAAGCGAAACAAAATTTTAGTATGTTAGCAGATCTAAGAAACAAAATTGAATATTTTTGAAATGTTATTGAAAATATTAATAGTTAAATGCTATGAAATACTTAGAAGTAGTTAAGTTAATTTCAATAATTTTACATTTAGGCTCAGTGCTCGGAGGGCTCTAATTTCAATTAAAACAATTACAAAATATTTTTATACATAATTACTACAGTTTAGTAAAGGTATATATTAGAATGAATCATAATTTAAAAAGAAAAGAAAAATTGGCTTTTAGTCTTTTACTACAGTGCGGAACTAAGTATTTATTTGTAAGGTAAACCAGGCTGAGTGTATACATATTTTTAAAGAACCCAACAGTAGTTAAAGAAAGATATACTGATTTTATTAGTTCATTGCTTGTAAATTCTGTTTCATGAAATCTAAATTATTTGCAGGTTGTTGAAGATGGTTATGAATTCTTTGCAAAAAGACAGTTAGTAACATTGTTTTCTGCACCCAACTATTGTGGAGAGTTTGATAATGCTGGTGGAATGATGTCTGTAGATGAAACACTTATGTGCTCTTTTCAGGTATTTATATTTTTCATTTAAAGATATGCCTTGCTTTCAAATTATTCATTAAACTTGGTGTTTTTATTTATTTATTTTTTATAAAACAAAATTATGATTTATGTTCAATTCTTTGTTGACAATAGGGATCAATCCATATGTTCCGACTGGTATTGAAAAATGAAATAAGCTTTTTTTTTTCTTGATGTAGTATAAGTGAGAATACATAACTATTTTTGTTAAGTTATTTGTAAATATTTTATCTTCAAAGTGATTTAAGTTTTAATATTTTATTTATTTATTATATCATTTAAGATTAATCTAGAAATTTGTCATATGTGATTTGTTCGTTGAATATTAATTAATGTGCTAGCTTCCTGATTGAAGGGTTGTAGCCGAAATTTCTACAGAATTTATCGGCGTTGCGTTAGAATTACAATAGCCATTGCCAATAATTAAACATTTTACTTATTAATTCCTGCTGTAAAAAAGGAAAAATTCTTTAATTCATTAAAAATTGCAATTTAGATAAATCTGGAGTTCTTAAAATTAATTTGTTTCTGCCTATTAATTATGAAGTCTTGTTTCAAGAAAATGAGATATATATATTATCATTGCTGCTTGACTGAATATCTTTTTGCAATAATTAGTTTATTCAGAATTAGAATTTTTCTTTATGTAATTAATTTTTTTATTAAAAAAAACAGTATTGTCATTATAAACTTTCCACTGTTGTAAGATATTGATAACATTCTTCTTCTGTAGATATTGAAACCATCTGAGAAAAAAGCCAAATACCAATATGGAGGATTAAACTCTGGACGACCAGTTACTCCCCCACGTGGACCAGTTAAAAAGAAGTAGCCTCTTCATGTGTACAGTTGCTTCCATATTGCTTCTTTCTTTTTTAAAAATTTGTATAAATATCCTCTTGATCATGCTTAAATCTTGACCCAAATGCACAGATTTCCTTTTCATGTAAAGTGGAATAATTCACCTGTTATTTGACAGACTTGTTAAACCGAAAATCCAGTCACTTCAGTATTTATTCATTTTAGATTTGGATATTAAAACTCCGTTATGTTTTATTGTGTTTAGAAAGCTGCGCTTAAATTAAACTTGACAATAAATGTTATGTTGATCTTTCCATTAGTTTGTACTTTATGTGCATTTAAAAAGTAGTTTTTGGTAATTTATTTAGGTGTGAATTTTACAATGTGCACGGAGATGGATTAGCGCATTATTCTTGAGCTTTCATATAATCTTGATTATAACAATGTTGAGTAGTATGTATTTACATGAAAGTTATTAATACTTTGAAAATTTAAACTCTTATTATTCAGTTCATGTTGCGAAGATTTCCTTCTTGTTTTTCATTTTGTATATTTTTTCATTTGCATTAACTGCCTGTATATGATTTTATTTCATGTAATCATAGTATTAAAAGATTTAAAATCCCCACTCTTATCTTGTCCCTTTTCTTCTTGTGTCAAGTTTCCAAATTATATTTTAATTTGTGAAACATTTAACTTTAGTAGAGAATCTAACGTTATTTAAGTCATAATTCCGGCCATGAATATTAAGCAGTTGCTGACATTGGTTTCAGTTGTGCAATTACTATGTGGTTGTTTATATTTGAATTTATAGTTTATGTCTCATTTGAAAATGTTTTGCCCAATGCCATTATATTTAAATAACTATAACCATAATTTTAACTAAGTTTTTTTTCCTGTATTGATGTTTAACTTAGATAATGGAGATGAATAAAAATTTGTGGAAAAACAGATTTGTGATGGTTATTCCTTTTTTTTAAATTTCAAATCCGATAGATCTGTGGCGTATTTACCACTACTAAATTACAACTGCAATTCACTAGTATATAAGACATGTTGACTCGACTCTATGTCGGGGTACCTTATCATAGATGATAATTGACATGCTCGATAACCAGATCACTATTTTAAGCACATTCCCCGGTACACCTCTTAGCACTGTAAAATTTTCATAAGGCTATTGTTTCCATATTACCTAAGACTTAGCACATTTTTTACATTATCTTTAAGAAATTTTTCAAAATTAACTTTTGAATTTTACAATTCTTAAACTATTGCTGTATAATATTAAAGATAAGAACCGTGTTTATGAAGGAAATGTTTTTATGGAATTATTTATTGAATATTTTTCTTAGTTTGCAATAAATTGAGACAAATCACTTTGCTTAGCTACCAACATGGATAGGGAAAAATCCAGGAGATTTTATGAAATAATATAAATTTTATGATAATTGTTTCATAATATACTAAGTACTTTACTAATAGGGAATTTTAAGGATTTTATTGTCATCAAAATACGAAAACTTGATTACACTAATAACTATAAATGGTCTACAACATTTTCTATTTGTGATTAACATTAAATGAATTCAAAATATTTTTGATTACGTTAACTCCTCATTTTCAATAGTAATAGACAAGTAATTCATTATTTATAGTTAAAAAATGTTTTAATTAATTTAAAAAGGGTGTTCTGAATGAAAATAAACTGGCAATACTTAGACCAAAAAAAAAATCTTTTTAACTGATTTCTGTAAATGAGGCTCACTTCATTATGTGTTAATAATATACATATTTAAGCAGAAATAAATTGTGTAAAATTTCTATTTCCATATGGATTTTTTTTTCCCCTAAAATTTACAGAATTTTCAAAAATGTGTAAAAACCAGGCGAATTTTTATTATACCAGTAGATTTGGAGAAACAAACAAAATCCAGTAGAGTTGGCAGCTATGGCTTCCGAAAAAAATATAAGGCCTGCAATTTTAACTTGTTTTATTAACTGCCTTGAAGGTGGGTGAAGTTTCAATTTCTGCCCTCTCCTGTCTTGTGTGATCTCTCTGCCAACATTCCAACTCTGCTAATTAATGCTTAATCTCATCTGTTGCAATTCTCTTAGGCATGTTATCTCAATATGTACCCTTTCCAGTTCCCTGTCCTCTTTTTTTTTTTTCTACTCCCAAATTTTCTGACCTAAGGCACCCATACCGTCTACAGTAGAGAGATTAGTCCGATAACTACCTGAGTCCTCGAATTAAACTGGTGTTTTGTCCTGACCGCTTAAAGTAGAACTTACTGTTTTATCACCAAAGGAAATGTATCATTAAAAATTTTGACTATTTTCTGTGTCTCTAGAGCTCTCATCTTTTAACTGAAGCTTTATCTGATAACAATACTGCCCTGCAATTAAGAAATCAACATAAGCAACAAAAAATTCAAAATTGAGATATTTTTGCATTTTTATACAGCAAGATACATATTGCAAAAAATGAAAAATTTCGAAAGTAAATTTTTTTATCCATTTTTTTTTAAATTTCTATTTTAGTGTTCATAGCATTAGTGATAGAAGAAAAGTTGTCAAATCACTTTTCTTGGAATTGAATCTTGAAGCACTTGCATTGTTTTTTTCAATCGCACAGCAGAATATTTGTTCCAGGATAGTTGTTAGAATGCATTGCCAATCAAAATTTCAACTATTTTGGGACTAGCTAAAGTGCTTGTGGCGTAACTACCACTACTTATATTAAACATCAATTCATTAGTATATAAGACGTGTTAACTCGGTTCTATGAAAAGGTACTCAAAAAACCTAGTTAACACGCCTTATACAAGTAGTGGTAGCTACGCCACAATACTACCCCCACATGCCTAAATCTCAACTGGAACTTAAAGCCTGATGTATGTAAGTTTCAATCGTTTCCCGACCGCTACAAGTCAAATTTATCGTCATTTTATAATCAAAACTTCGATCTCTTTCCAACTAGCTAGTGTTCACAAGTCAAGTCGAAAGTGCTGCTCTCGTTGACAACTGCAATCATTTCCTGAATGCTCCAAGCAAGGTTTATTTTTAAAAAGAATGTTTTGTAGATTGAAATTTCAACCACTTTCAAGGTAGCTAGAGTACTCAAATTTCAACTGGATCCTGGTGGCAATACAATTTACATTTGTTCTCTAAATGTTCAGATTTTTTACCACTCTGACTTCTGACACAAAATTTATAAATAAAATAGTTTTAAGGACTATATTTTTCAAGTGGTCTATAAAAGAGAAAATAATACTTTTATAACACTTAAAATGAAAAATTTTTGACGCATATTACGCATTACCTTCGCAAAAAATTTCTATAATCATCGAAAATTCTCAACAAGTATTTACATTTTTCGTTTCAATAGTGAGACGCAAATGGAATTTTCTCTCTCTTTTTTTATTAGCATATTTGAAAAATTAAGTTATACAACTTTTTATGCTACTTCAACTGACAGATACTTTATTTATGTCGCACTAAAGCTGCATATGGGCTATGGGCGACTGTCTGGGAAGCATCCCTGAAGATAATCAGAAGACATGCCAATTTTGATCCTCTGCAGAAGGGGTGGCTCCCCTGCTTTGGTAGCCCGACGACCTGCGCTTGAAATGGAGCACCTTATTGTAAAATAGTGTAACAAGAACCGTTACCGCGCACCCTCAGTCCCTAAGCAGGCTGATCAAAGTGGTCACCCACCCACTTACTTACTGACCGCAGCCAGTGATGCTTGATTTTGTCGTTCTACTGGGAACCGTGTCTTTACGATCAGTCTACTGCAGGATTTCACCACGATTGAAAAGTACAACACACAGTAGTGTACATGAACTTAGTGCACCCCCTGCAAGATTTATAAATGCGCTCTATCTTAAGGTCTGGTTTCTTAGGACAAGCGCCTTATCTGGGCGTCAGCGGGACGTCAACGTCACGCTGACGCCAACAAAATACTGGTTTGTTAGCTCAAGGCCTGGTTTCTTAGAACTAGCGCCTTATCTGGGCGTCAGCGGAAAGTTGACGTAGATCTGACGCCAAAAAAATACTTTTTTGTTAGCTCAGCGTGAGCAGTCGGTCCAACGCAGACATTATCTCTCATTGCGCATGCGTTAATAACGTAAACAAATATTTATTTTGAATTTGTATTGATGTTGTTATTGTCGACCAGTGTTTTAGAGAACAAATAATGACTTTGTCCAAGAAAAAACACATTATAGCTGAGCTAAATGAAGAGTGCTATGTTTAATGAAGAAGCTATGTTTAATGTCAAAATCAAAACCTTGGCTGATTTCAATGTGCTGTTGGATGTTGTCCGCCATTGCTTCTGTGGTTAACGTCACGCTGTAATCCAACTGCAGTTGAGTTGGGCGGCAATTGTAGTTCAAGATGAGCGTTCGATGACGTATACTATCAAACTCACAAATGGACCAATCAGAGGTTAGCGCTGATTTCCAGCTGACGGCGTCCTGTCCTAAGAAACCAGGCCTTTAGACTTGACACAAATTTTTGTTAAATTATAATATAAGACAAGAAAACAATAGGTGTTAATGACCTTTCATTTTAATTTCTAAAAATATTGATGTTAATTTATAAAGAATTAATAATTGCGATGGAAAGGCGGAATTTAGAAAAAGCATTAAATTGGAACACTTACCAACTTACACATTAAAATGAAGTTTATCTTAATAATACGGGGAAATAACTCACTATCTTACAATAATTATATTCAAAGCTTAGTTAAGGGTAATTTTTATTTGTTAAGTGAATTAAAAAATTTCTAATGAAGGAAAAAAAATATTTTAAATGTAGGGGTGCACAACCTTTTCGAATGAAAAACTGAGTATCCCAAGTATTTAGACACGTTGACGGCAATATAAATGAATTTAGACTTTCTATAAATGTTAATAATTTGTGTAAAAAAATCATCAAATTCAATACGTTATTGTTAAAATTGGACGTTTTGTTAATTTTTGTAACCGTCGTTGAACAGCCCACCCAATTTTTGTGTTTACGAATACTAATGTTCATATCTATAGCCTTTTAATTTTAACCCCAATGCAGAAGACAAGAGAGCTCCTGGATCACGTATTGGGAGAAATTTGCCTGCGTGGAGGACTTTTTGATGGAACTAACCCGCATTTACGTTGCATGGAGAGGAAGACCACAAGAACCTCCAATGGTTAGCTTGACGGCAATGGGACTCTAACCCATGATCCGGCTACCACTGAGGATATTTCACGTGAGCACTGTGGTCGGTGCAAGCCGGATACGGATTTGTATCGACCAGTCATCACTGGGATTCGAACCCAGTTCACCTCATTGGAAGGCGAAGGCTCTATCCCCTGAGCCATCACGGCTCACATTTTGTTTACTATAAAATTCGAATTTGCCAGTATAATATAATTACCTTGGGCAAATCCAGTTTTTGGCCAATCCAAAGCAACATACAAATCAAACGCTGTTCTTTACTTCATTAAGAAAGAGCCATAAAATATATCACACTATCCTCTACTCCTTATAAGGCTGAAAATCATGACGGCATGTCTTTGGATCTTCCGTTGCCGATAGCCCATTGTGCGGCTCTAATGTGAAGCAAATAAAGTACATAACTATTTATGCTTTTATATATATATATGTATATATCGAAAAGTTAAATCGGTATTATTAACTGAATGTCGAAATAAACTTATGCAGGAATTTCAACTTCTATTTAAACACAAGATTTTTATTAAATACTCAAATTTTATAATTAATAAATATGATTTTTCCCATTTTATATCTAAACAATTTTTAAAGACTTGGTAAATGAGCATTGAAATTTTTAATTACCGACAAAATTCAACAAATTATGCTCACCTTAATTGTTATTTTACTTATTGGTTGAAAACGCATTCCACCAGTTACAAGAACAGTATTTACATAAACTTAACAAGATATTTTTTATATTTACACAAAGTTAATTGAGAAAAAAGGAAGAAATAAAAATACCCCACAGAAAAAAAAAAGAATGAAAGATTATTCTTAAAATTTAGTTACAATTCAAAAATTTATGTTAATAGAAAAATTTAGTTCATCGTCATGCTCAAAGATGAAGAAAAAAATTAGCTGTATTGTTTGCGAAATTTTTTTTAAGGTTCGATATATGCAATACGAACAAATTCATAATTGAAGAGCTTAATGGATGATGCAGGGTAAATGATGAGGGGTATTTATTAACCAGGGAAGATACCAGCGGGCCTGTAGCTGCAACCTTTAAAAAGGGTGTAAAAAATTAAGCGACATGCTACATATGCAAATGCATTATGGTGAAAAGCGGTAATGTAANGAAGAAATAAAAATACCCCACAGAAAAAAAAAAGAATGAAAGATTATTCTTAAAATTTAGTNAAAAAAAAAAAAAAAAGAATGAAAGATTATACTTAAAATTTAGTTACAATTCAAAAATTTACGTTTATAGAAAAATTTAGTTCATCATCATGCTCAAAGATGAAGAAAAAAATTAGCTGTATTGTTTGCGAAAATTTTTTTAAGGTTCGATATATGCAATAGGAACAAATTCATAATTGAAGAGCTTAATGGATGATGCAGGGTAAATGATGAGGGGTATTTATTAACCAGGGAAGATACCAGCGGGCCTGTAGCTGCAACCTTTAAAAAGGGTGTAAAAAATTAAGCGGCATGCTACATATGCAAATGCATTATGGTAAAAAGCGGTAATGTAACGTATTGAGATTTAACAACAACAAAAAAACCTTTATAACTGGAAGAATCATTTAAGGGACATTTTTAGGGATATTTACGAATAAGAGAAAATAGCATAAATTGGTTGCATCAGTAAGGGTATACTAAATGTAAAAGGATTGTTTTTGCTTTTATTTTAATTTTAACGTTACTAATCTGCATTAGTTTTAAGTATGCTTGTATAATTTTTATTTAAAATTAGCTAGTGTAAATAAAATATAGCAAAGAATTACTTCCCTCGCCTTCTAATAAATCTATAATAAAATAGTTCATTAATCACTTTATTTCTATTAACCCTTATTATTGCCACTTTGAAAATGTCGCGTACTTAGTACTTCACCATTCGTCCCGCAGTGGACTGATCCACTGAAGTCAAGCATCACTGGCTGCAGTCAGTGTGCGGGTGGGTGACCACTTGGATTAGTCTGCTTTAGGACCGAGGGTGTGCAGTATTGGTCTTCGTTAAACCGTACTACCGTAAAGTGATTGACTTTGCGTGCTAGTCGTCGGGCTACCGAAGCGGGAGTGCCATCTCCTCTGCAGAGCATCAAAATTGTGATGGCATGTCTTCGGATCATCCTCGGGAAGTTTCCCAGACTGTGGGCAATAGCCCATTGCGCAGCTCTAGTGTGACATAAATGAACTACAACAACAGCAACTTCACCATTCAAGTTCACATATTTCCCAGAAGTTGATTAGAGGTGCGGTAACTACATTTGGTGTATAGTTTGTCTACGGTAAGAACTCCACCCGCTACAAAGTCTGAGGCCATCTGTTGCTATGGAAACAAGATCAGCGCATTTCAGGCAGGGTAGCTTCTCTTCATTCTAGGGCTAACACAATAGATCGAAGAAAAATATGGCCGACCTAAACAGCGACCCCACACCCCTACTTGAAAAAATTATACCTCGAAGTTATACTTGGAATAGTTACCATAGTCACCGCCATGAGTCCAGACGAATAGCTAGAGGAGTTCTTATTTTAGACAAACTATATATGATCCCTTATTATCGTGTGCTAAGCCAATACCTCCTAGAAAGGAATCAAGCCTCACGACGGGTTACTATAGGCGATGATGACGTAGTAGAGTTAGGCCCAGAGGGAAACCNAAGAAAACGTGATAGGCTGAGACGAGACTGAACTTGATCGTTCAGTTCGTGGCCGTCACCAAGGGTGCACTGAATAAAAACAACTAAACTTTTTATCGAAACAAATTTCATTTTTGAGATTGGCATCGTTTCCTCGCTAATTAATTTTGTCCCCGTACCGGTTTATTGTGTAAATTTTGGTATGTAATTGTATTTTGATTTCTTATTAAACTTTTGTTATTTGTAACTTATCATGGTTTTAAGTACTTGTATTTTTTAAAATATTGAAATTTAAGGTGTTGTATCATTTTAATGAATTTATTATTACGCTCCTTACTGGGCGCGAAAACACCTGCTGAAGAAAGTTTTATGTTGGTTTTTTTACGCCATTTTACTATAGAATATCTATTTTATCATAATTATCTCTGTACTTTTATGACCTTTTCATTTGAGTTTTATTGGTTTATCATTCTTACTTTTATATAAATGTTTATAGATATCTTGTGCACCGATTCCTTTTTTTTTCCTCTCCCTAATGTTTTTTTTCTTTTTGAATGAATGTTATTGGTAGTCTTTCTTAAAGTTTTGTATTATTCTATTTTTTTTATTTGTGTGTTCTTATTTATGAATTTGGTGCTAATGATATTCCTAGATATTATTGGTTCCTAAGAAATCTGTAGATTAGGTTAGGCCTAATTTTATCAATAAATAAGTCATGCAGATCCAAACTTATTGTATTATTGGTACAGTCCTTGGCAATCGTTTACAAGTATTGTTATTAATCCTTTTCATGTACGTATTTTTCTATTGTTCAATTCAGGGGTGCACAACCTTTTTTTTTTTAAAAAGGGGCTGTATTAATATTTTTTTGCTTACCGGTGTCGCAATGAATGAAGTTTTAAATCAACAAATCTCTCATGCCCTAATTATACATTATTTCAAAAATATCAGTTGGTATAAAAACTAAAAGAAAAAGATATATACATGTAATGAAAAATATAATACATATTTATAATGAAAAAAAATTTATGCATATTAAGTTCAAAATTTATGTTCTTGCAAATTCCATGTAGTTTATGTTTACTAATTTAAAAATGACGTTGCAATCTGCTTGTCATTTTTAAAAAATTATTATGATATTCGAAATGAAATTAATTCTATTGAATTAAATTTATTATATTGTTTTGTTAGGGGGGAGATTTCCATATCATGATCTGAGGCAGAATAATCGTCCAGTCTTGGTCACTACTGGGTAACTCCCCAAAAGAAACTAAAGAAAACATCACAGTAAAGAACCAACTTGAAAAATATAAGTCCTATCCACCCCCAGACTAACATCTACATATTTAAATTTTTTTTTTAATTCAAATTTTTAAAAAAATTTGAAATTGGGTATTTATTTGGAATCTTGGCGATTGCACTTGGTGCAACAGATCGCTATAGGGAATAACCCATTTTATAGGCCATATACATATGTTAATTTTCTAATTGACCTTTGAACCCCCTTTTATTAAACTTCATTAAAAGTGTCAGATAGTAATAAGAAAAAAACTTATTAAAAAGCCTCTAAGCCTGTAGAAACTATATATATAAACTATAATAACCTATATAAACCTATAAAAACGATGATTAAAGTCAGACAGATCATGTCATATTAAAAGAGATAGAGTTAAAAGAGCTAAGAAATTAATCATATCTAAATATTAGATAAAATGTTACAGCAGCAAGGTCTTTCACGCTAGAGATTTTGATGTAGTTATACAGTTTTCAAATAAGTTTATGGATGGTATCTCATTCGTTGATGTTGGGTTTTAAAGGAGAATTATGGCATATAAACTATTTTAAATGTCCGTACTGCTGCAGCCAATCATTTTTTACTATTTTGTTGACAATTTTAAGCTGTTTTTTACTTTTTTTAAATTTTTTTTTTTTAAATAAGAATGTAATCAGAATTAAGGACATGACCAATTGGTAGTCTCTTTTTATATATCTGTTTAGATTTAAGCAGTGGTGAGCAAAATGAGGAGATATTTCCATATCGCGATTTGTTGTGCCAACCACTAATGCGAATGTGCCACTTGCATATTTAAAACAAACAAGCATATAGATGTTTGCTTGGGGGTGGTTACGAGTTATACCTTTCAAGTTGGTCCGTTTTTGTGATTTTTTTTTGTTTCTTGCGGACTGCTGCTGCCCAGAAATTGCCAAGGCTTAGTTTTTATTCTGCCACTTATAATATGGGAATCTCCCCCAAAATAATATTAGTTTTATATTATTAAAGCTTGGTTTACTTTTTTTGCTATCAAAGGAATAATGTTTTAAACCCTGCTAATTCCGTTGATGAGGGATGAGATGTTAATGTCCTTTTTTGTCTCCATAGCTTTTTTTGTTTTAAGGGGTCTGTCCAGACATTTTGTGAAAGGTCCTGTTTTTGTAAAATTGTGAAAAATTACTCGTAATTTCTGAATATAAAATAGACATTAAGTCACATTCTTTCAACCAGGGTGAATTTGTACAACCGCTTTTGTGAATTTGTACAAATAGGATCCTGTTATTGTAAAAAACTTCAAGGAGTTTTTAAATTGTAAAGACATGCAAGATTATGCTCAACACTGTAAAATTATAATTTAAAAAATTAAATTTTAAAAAACAAACAGCAATTGCCGCTACTAAATTAGAGATGCAACATACAAATATTTGGTATTTAGCCTATACTGCTCAACAGAGAATATTCATTTCGGACGAATAAAGGAAGAGCGTCTGCTGAAGACAAAATTTAGTTCGTTTACATCTGCCTTTCTTCCCCCCCTTCCTGGGAAGGGTTTATTCTATTAACAAAACAATAATGACGATAAACAAATTTGTGAAGGTTCTGATTAAATTAAAAGATAAATTGTTTTGTGAAGGGTCCGTTTTTAAGTTAAATATTTTGTGAAGGGTCCGTTTTTTATGTAAAGATATTTTGTGAAAGGTCCGTTAACGAACCCAAATTTCTTCTAAACAGACCCCTGGTTTTGTATATTCTTTTAATTTTTTTATTAATTTTTAGAATTATTTTAAAAACAGTTGTATAATTTAATTGGGAATTGGCTTTTTTTCTTCTTCAAAATTTGGCTGCAAGGTGATGAGTTTACCTTTTTAAATTTACCATAATAAATTCCACAATTATTTGTTGATGGAAAAACTTGTTTTTAAACTTTCTTATACTACTTTTAATTCTTGCTCATTTTTCTTTATTATGAGTAATATCAGATGAAATAATCAGTTTCATTATTGGAATACTTATTATATCTATCTTAATGGCATAAAAAAATTTAAATATTTTAAATTTCTAATTTCATTCTAGCATTAGTTTATTAAGAGTTTTCTTTTACTTTTTGTTTTTATTTAGTTTGTTAGTCCTTAGTATAAAATTCTTGTATTTTTATTTAGGTTTGAAGCTTCTATTTTAAAAGAATCATGAGTGCCCCTGTAAGTATGAGTTTTATTCTATAAATTTTTATTTTATTTATATTTTAGTGATAATTGACATAGTTAGATAATACGGACGCATGCTGTGCACGGATGCATTGGTGGTGCTTCTCCAATTTTGCAGATACTTTTTTTGTATTTATTTTAATTAAAAATAGTATTGTTGTCGCTGCAATTAAGTATTGTTGTTGAGAATGTTTTAAATATTTATTAAGCCCTTTCCTGTACTTGAAACGGTTGTACATTTTCTTTTAAATAAATGTGTTTATTTTGGTTAGCTTTTTAATTTTCAATTAACGTTCAATCAGAGCTCATTCTAGGCAGGGTTCGTTGATTTAAATCAGCTTGATTTAAATNAGTTAAGTTAAAAAAAAAATTCTTTTACTGATTGACAATGAACGTGAAATTATTGCCTTTTTAGAATAATAATGCCCTTTTTTTAAACTTTTGCACCCTGCCCTTTTTTCTGCCTAGAATGAGCTCTGCGTTTAATGATGAATCTATTAACAATGTTTTTTCGTTTCTGTAGCAGTTCTGTATGATTACTTATTTTCTTCTAGCGTACAAAACTTTTTGTTGGTCATTTACCTGATGGGTGTACTAATGAAGAATTGCAGACTCTGTTTGAAAAATATGGAGCAGTAAAAGAGTGTGATGTTATTAACAAATATGGATTTGTGGTAAGAATTTTAAATTCTGTTTATTTAAAACTTCTCTACTTGTATAATTGAATTTATAGCATAAAAATTCCCTTATGTATGTCGATTGCCTTTACTTTACTTCCAGCATATGAGCACATCCGAAGAAGCTGAAGATGCAATTAAAGCACTTAACAACTACCACTTTAGGGGATCATCTCTCAGTGTTGAGGTAATTAACAATTTGTGCTTGATTAATATAAAATTAAACTTTTATTGTTTCTTTGCCTTGTTTCATTGAAATTTGTAAAAAAAGATTTTTTTGAAGGTTTAAGTATGTAAATGATTTATTATTATAAACCCAGAAGCAGAAAGTGCCTAAAACTGCGACGTACGTCGCAGAACAAATGAAGTCCTGCAGAACAATTTGTATCTTGAATAAGTGACAGCGTTTTCTTGCAAAAGCAAGCCGTAAAAGAATTAAATTCTGAGATTTTGTGAAGCAATTTGTGAATCGTAGGGATTCACGATTGACAGAATTGTTTCTAAAAGACCAAATGCTTTCGATGGAGATTAAGAAGTTGTTGGAACAACAGACCAGCGAATGTTTGCGTTTGCAAATGGTGCACCATCTGGGCACTTGTCCCTTTGAAAGACATTTAAGGCAGCCCTTATTTTAATGTCCGGATCTTAATATCATAGTCATTTTATTAATAATTCATCATCATCAACAAAATTTTGTACTTTAAAAGTGATTGAAAAAGTAACAAATCAAGAATGTTTGCCTTGGTTTAAAAAATAATGTTGTGTATCTGTGTATGATCCTGTATTTTAATAAAAGAAAATATAGTATTTTAACGAAAGTTGACTTTTTTTCGCTGTGAAATGCTTGCAGTAAATTAATAAGTCCTGTTGCAGAACATTTGAAAATATTCTGCTTATGGGATTATAAACAGGGTATCCGCGCATCTGGAAAGTCATGAAAAAAAATCATGGAAAGTAATGATTTTCGTTACTGAACAAAATTTGTCATGAAATGTCATGATTTTAACTATTTTTTAAAAAATTCATGGAAAGTCATGAATTTAGGTTGCCAAGAAATCTAATTTTTGAAATGAAATTTGCCCTCCCCCCTATTTCATGGTGTTCTGAATATCTGAATGTGTATCAAAATCCCCACTCACAGTCATATTTTATTAAAATATAAAATGTTTTTATCATTTTCTTTAAAAATTATGGTGAAAAAAAATGAAGGAAAAAGCATAATTTCCTTTTAAACTTCTGTGATTTCAGAATTTTTGTTATTATTAATTTTTTTATTTTATTTTAAAATTCTAGCTGAAGCAAGCCAGTCATTGGCAAATTTTTATATAATGAGAACAGAAAATCAGTAGTATTTCTTTCCTTTCTGATGAACAAGAAAGGTATCTTAAGAATATAATTCTGCAGAAAAAAACGAAAAAGAAAATATTTGCTTATGCATTTTATTCAGCCATTTTTATTGCTTCAACTCATTTTTAATTTAAAATCTACAAATATGAGGAAGCAGAGTATAACAGTTTTGGTTATACCTATGATTTCAATTAATGTTATTATAATGCTTTTTTAAATTTATTGTTGCGTTTTTGTCAGAGAAAATAGTAACTTCGTTAAGTCATGAAAAATTCAGGGAATTAGTCATGGAAAGTCATGAATCTGAATATCTAAAATGTAGCAGATACCCTGTATAAAATTGAAAGATTTAAATTTTCTCAATTCAATCATTTATCAAAAATTCTTTTCTAGAGATCCAAAAGTAAGTTGCACCCTGAACCTGGTGCCCCGGGCCGTGCCAAAGGAGGAGTGAACAGGTGATTAATTTTGTTTTGTATAGTTAAAGTATTGCTGTCTTATTTGATAGAAATTCAAGAAATGGATTTTTTTTTTGCATTTAAGCAATCTTTTCAATTATTTTTTTGAAAATGTTCTGTTTTTACTCATTTTATCGTAAATGTTTGCTTGTTTTTTAATGCCTAACTGGCAACTATTCTGATTTATTTGGGACATTCCCAAATTCTGACGCTTTCTCCCGAACTGCAGATCCAAGTTATTGATGGGGAAATACCATTCAAAAATCCAGGAATTCTGTAAAAATAAATAAAAAAATTTGCAAAATTAGTTACAGGAAGGAGAAATTTCTAATTATTGATCAGAATGACTGATTAAGATCAAAACTGTGTAGTTACTTAAAAGCATGATATGAAATTCACAGATTGTTATAGTGTGTTAACTTAAAAAAGAAAAAAAAAGGAAAAAAAGGAGAGAAACTGAAAATCCCAAGGAATAAATGTTAAAAATGAGATTGTATTGTATTTTCTTATTTTGAAAAATCTCTGTACCATAAAGTTTTTACTAAATTGCATTTCCCTAAATACCTCCTTAATTTTGATTCCTATAGAAAATGCTGCAATAACTTAATTTGGATGAACTGTTATCAAAAAAGTTTGAAACTCATAATTCATATCTACTTTCACTTACTTATAGTGATTCACATTGATGGTGTTATAATTTGAGTAAAAACAGTGCGTAAGTTCTAAAAATATGCTCTGATTAAGTTGCAAAAACAAATTTCAGCAAATCTAGAAAAATTCTTTAGTGTTTAAAAAATTCTAAATAAATTTGATAAGTCGACTCAAGTGTCCATTCCTTTCTTTAAATTTATGAAGTTAATTTATTTTCTAAAAATATAGTAATAAGTGTTTTGATTCCTCTTGTGTAATTAAAGAATATATATTGTTAATTTAGTGTTACGTATGGGAATAGATTTCAAAAGCAAATGCTTATTTTTTGCATTCTTTCACTTGTCATTTTTTTACTATGAAAGAATGAAATTTTCCTAATTTATGAAGTTAATTTATTTTCTAAAAATATATTAATAAGTGTTTTGATTCCTCTTGTGTAATTAAGGAATATATATTGTTAATTTAGTTTTACGTATGGGAATAGATTTCAAAAGCAAATGCTTATTTTTTTCATTCTTTCACTTGTCATTTTTTTACTATGAAAGAATGAAATTTTCCTAATTTATGAAGTTAATTTATTTTCTACAAATGTTTTGTATAGTGTTCTGATTTCCTCTTATGGGATTGTTTAAAAATATATATTGTTTTTTTGATATGGTATAAATTTTAAAAGGAAAAGAATGCCAAAGCAGTTAAGCACTGACCTATTCTTGAAAATATTTATAAAAATGATCTTAAATATGTTTATAACTAAAATTATTCCCGCACAATTTTCTACCAATTATCTGACTTTTTATTTGTTAACGACCTTAAATTTTTAAGGATAGTTTTTCAATTTTTGTTCTAGTTATTTTTTCATGTACTACTGAACTTAGTTTAAAAGTAAAATTCTTACTTGTATCAATGTGAAATAGGTTGTGTTACATTGTTAAAACAATTATGTAACAGTATAAATTGTAAAATAAACTTGATTCAGAATCAAGGGCTTAGTATATTTATATTAACTAATAATTATAAGTATAGTAAATGATAATGGATTTGTAGAAATGTTGAAATTTTTTCTTAAAATTTACAAATTTAACTTTTAAGCCATCCCTATAAAATCGCCACATTTTATTGAAACAGAAAAGAATTTAAAATCACACTTTTTAATAATATTTGATTCTATAAGAAGAATATATATTTTGTTTATATTGCTACTTGCTAACGTGTTTTAATTGATCTGTAGGAATAGAGATGGTTACGGGGGCGGCCGATCTCGTGGTGGTGGTGGATATTCTAATGGTTATGGACGTTATGATGGCCCACCTCCTTTTGGTGGTAGGGGAGATTTTTACAACGATAGAGGATATGGTGGCGGAATGAGCCCTCGGATGAGGCCCTATCCTTCTCCATATGATAGATCCCCTATGCCTCCTCCTCGAGATGACTATTATTCCAGATCTTCACCTTATTCTATGGCCTCTCGAGATCCCTATGCAAGGCCAGTTGCTGCATCACGAGATCTTTATGATAGACGAGCCACTGCATATCCATCTACTAGTGATTATTTGTACTCTCGCAGATCTCCTCCTCCTATGTCAGCTGCTAGCAGGTACGCTTGTAAAAATCTGTGTTTTTTAATTGATAGTTAGGTTAAGCACAAATAATTACCTTAATTCTAATATGCCATATAATTGTTGATTTTAAGTATATAGTGGGAAATCCTGTGTCAAGAATCTGAGAAGTAGATTTTTTTAGATAATTTAATAGGTCATTCAGGCAAATAAAGATCAAAAGTTTATAGATGAATATTGTCTGCTTTAATGAATCATATAATCTTTTCTTAAAACTACAACAACATAATTCGATTTTAAGTAGACAAGTAAAACAAATTATTTTCCTGGTATAATTTTTGGTGGGAAAATCAGTTACAAAAAAATTACATTTAAAAATTGTGAAATTTTTTTAAAATTTTTATTATACATTTTTTTCCATAATTCTTAAAAATGTAATAAAAATTATACAATTTATCTTATACATTTTTATTATTTAATGATTGCTGTTATAATTTTATTTAAATTTTTTAATTTTGAGATTTTCAAAATTGATTGCAAGATTATTTTATTGTAAGTATGAGCTACAATTTAGGGTATATGTAAGACAGCTAATTACCTGAATTTTATTTGTATTATTATAATATCATAAGCAAGCAACATAAGGATCATTTGGACTACAATTAACATGGTTCAAACCAAAATTAACTATACATAATTTGTATAGTTCATATGTATAGTTTTTTTTTAACAGGAAGCATATTATATGCAGGGCTGATTGTGCTGTGGAAAAAATCCGGATTTCCGGATTTTTCGCTAACAGTGATCCGAAAGTTTCCGGACATCGAAGATCCAGACGTTTCAAAAAATTATTGATCACAGAAGTTTCCGGAAATCAAATTTTCAAAGGTGGAACTTAAAAACACAGTTTATTTTATTTGTTTGTAAAGGAGAGCCAGAGAGATTCTTTATAAGTTATATTCATGATTAATATTCATTTTTTATCAGTAAATAGTTAAAATCATAAACTCAAAAAAGAGAGACATATTTGTAAATTTTGATTACTTCTCCAGGTCATCATAGGTATGTGTAAATGGTACAGGCACGTGTAAAATTTTAAATATATTTTAAGTAAACTAAGAAATATTGAGAAAAAGGGGAAAAAAAACCTGTTTAAATTTTTTTCAATTTAAGCTGTTTTTTTTTTCGGGAAATTTTCCGGAATTTTGACTTGGGGCGCACAATCACCCCTGTATATGCTTCCTGTTAAAAAAATGTCATGTGAAACCACATGATCTATGACATAAAGTTTCACCCATTATGAGAACAGTTGTCAGACTCTGTGAATGTGGTCACTGGGATGCAATTCATAATGATTTTATTAATTGTTGGTTTGCAATTAATAGTGAATTTCTGAGTTATATTCATTGGTGAAAAAAATTTTNCACCCATTATGAGAACAGTTGTCAGACTCTGTGAATGTGGTCACTGGGTTGCAATTCATAATGATTTTATTAATTGTTGGCTTGCAATTAATAGTGAATTTCTGAGTTATATTCATTGCCTGTGGTTATGGGTGAAAAATTTTTTTTCTTCCTCTAAGTTTTGGATTGAGAATTTAGATCTTTTTTTTTTCTTTTACAGAAGAACAAAACAAATTTAATCATTTCTTAATGTTTTTAAAAAATTGCTTTTTAGTATATTATTTTATGTTAAAATGTGTATTTTAAAACTTATTAAATTAAGTTTTTAACTAATTTTAAATCTTAAAATTTTCATATTAATGAAATTGTTATTTTTGTAGATCCTCTTATTGGTCCAATGATTATTATGGAGATGCGTAAGTATTTTATTCTTTCTTATCTTCTTGAGTAATTAAAATTGTAGTCTCCAAACTAGACAATATATTTTGGTAAAATAATAAAGCATATCTGAATGTTTGTATAATATTAATTTATGTAACTTATATCCTTTTAATAAATGATACAAAGTTTGTTTATTATGAGAACAAAATCTTTCCTGACTAACATTTTCTTTATTCCATTTCTTATTAGAATCTCCTTGGCAATATCCTGTTACAGGATCGGTACTTTTTTGTAAATATCTTTCTAAAACAGATCTTAATTTAAAATTTTACCTTTAACAATTGTATGTAAAGAAAGCTTTAATTAGTCAGATAATTATTTAAGAAAAAAATTCGGATCCCTTATTGGATTTTTAGAAAATGATTTTTTCGATATTGAAGACCTTTCTTAATTACCTCAAAAAGGGCTCTTAAAATATTTATAATGCAAAACTTCTACTATTTTGTCTCTAACCGAAAAAAAATTTAAAATTCTATACTAGATTTAGATTTAATCGCATGTGTTTCACTCAAATTCATAAGAAGACTAGACTACTAGTTTTTGTGATTTTTCACAAAAATGATAATAACAGGACTTGTTTTCATGAAAAGTTTGAATCTACCCCTGTTAATTATTTACAATGCAAGTTTTACATTAAACCTGCAGTTTGAAAGTCTTAAGGAAGTAGAAAAGAGGGATGTTTGTTTATTTTCAGAACAATAACTACACACTTCATAGAATTATGTCATCCATAACATTGATTCATTTAATAATATGAAATTCATTTAATAGTTATGTTATTAAAAACTTTTTAATAAAGTCACAAAATGTTTCTTTATAACCTACATAGTTTGTTGTGCAACAGCGGGTCTATGTGCTCACTCTCTAATTAAACTAAAGATTCTTTAAACTGCCATTAATTAAGAGTTTTAGCTATAATGGAGTTGTTAATCTTGATCACCAGGTATTAAATTATGCAAATTTCTGCACATAAATCACTTCTTGGTGAATGATATAATCGCATGTTTTTACTTTTAATTAATTTAATTAATTAGAATTTTTTCTTTCTAAATAAAAACGTATCAATTTATAGGCTGGTCACATTTTTTGCACCGTCTGTTGCAGTCAAGAAAATTTTTTTAAAGTGAAATAGGATTATGTTGGCATGTTTCAAAATTTGTCATATAACAATTACTACAGTGACACAATTTAATGCATAATTACTACAATAAAAACAATTTCCTATGATTAACATTGATGAATAGGTTTTTCATGCATGTGCAAAATTTGGATGGTTTTGTGTTGTATTTTCTAGCATTTAATTAATTTTATCTTTTTGATTAATAAGTAATTATCTGTTTTCAATGATAATGTTTAGCTGTTGATAAATAACCTGTTATAACATTTGTCTTGTATTTAAAATGTCTTTTCCTATTGCATGATTTTAATGATTTTTATCTGTTAATATTTTCAGTAAACTCTGAAGAATTTACTTTTATACTGTTAATTTTTTATATTTTCTGTTATGCAGTCGTTAACAAATCTCTTTTTACAAGTTTCACCTTTCAATCTGTTTGAACTTGTTTATATCATTAATTTTCATATATTTAGTTCCATTTAAACTTCTAATGTATCATTAGTTTTATAAAAAAAATTAAAAAGAATCCATTTTATTTTGTCTAATTAGTCTTAGTTTGGAGACTTTATATTACTTCTTAGACAAGTGATAAAAGTAAAATTTTACCTAAGTAAGTTGTTACCGAAGTAAAATTAATTTTCCTTGTCTCTCTTTAATTCACTATAATTTGCAGATCAGCCAAAAGCTATTATGGTGAATATGCTCTATAAAAAGATTGTCTACTTCATGAAAATAGGTAGAATGAGAAGTATATTCTTTATTAATTTTATATTGCTAGGTTCATTTTTATTTTCAGTACAGTTTTTTAAAACCACTACCGCAAGAGTGACATGCACTGAAAGGAAATAAAATGAATCAATGTAATGAAATTTTTAACTTTTAAAAAAAATTCTTAAAGTTTATCCAAAATTCCCAAATTATTGAAAAACTAAGGTTTTAAGATTAATTGTAAAACCATAAATTGTCAAAAACTTTCCAACATTGCCTAATTATGATATTTTTTGAGTGTTTGAAAAGTGTTTTAAAGGTGCTTATTTTTTGTTGAATAATTTGGCAATGCACCCTGAACTAGAATTTATACTTGGCAGCTCTTTCATTTGTAAATATTTTTTCTGGTATAATAATAAATGTGATTAGACATAAAAGTAAACTTGTACACAATTATTCATTTAAATTATGCTGCATATGATTTATTTAGAATTCCATGTTTTGAAAATATCAAAAATTTGAATTTATAAAGACATTAGTTTTTCGAAATGCGTCATCAATGATTTCACTCGAGAAATTTTTTCAGGATTTTTGAGTTGCACTCACAATCACCCCTGTATTCTAGGCATAGGTAGAAAAAATTAATCAGTCATTCAACATATTTGTTCCTATGGTTTGTCTATAAGAAAAACTCCCTTTTCTACAAAGTCTGAGACTGTTTGCTGCCATGGAAACAAAAAATACCACATCTCTTTGCCCTTATTCCTTTCTCTCGCTGACATTGCCAAAACCTTTCCTAAATATTACAGGGATGTGATTCTTCCGCGGATCCGCGGATTTCCGCTTTTTTCAGATTTTTCCATATTTTNAAATATTAACCTAACAACCCTACTTGAAATATTTAAACTTCATAACCGTAGTCATCACCATTGCTCCGTGCAAATGGCGAGATTTGTTCTTTTCATAGACAAAGTTATTTTGATGCAATTTTGGAGGAAGCAGTATTAAATTGTTCTTAGGAGCAATATTAAATTGTTCTTTTTTGACAAGAGTTTGGATGTTCATCTGGTTTTTCAAGTAATTGAATAACTGATTTTTTATGGAATGATAGGTTGATTTTGAAAAATAACCATGTGTTCGGTTACAGAAAATGTTAAATGATTTGCCTTACCTCATATTGGCCTGCCTTTTTATTAATCAAATGGTTCAATTAAGTAATATGAGTAATAGTTGCATATTGTTTTGCATAGCTGTATCAAGTTATTATTTTTGCCATCAAACCAATGAATTTATTTAAATATAGTTTTAATTCCAAGAGAAGAAATGGGTATGGGGGGGGATTCCCTCGCAATTTAGATATAATTTTTGATTTTATTAACAAAAATTTTTACCTTATTTTGGGAGTACCATTCGATAGTGCTATCTATACCTATAAAAAAGTGGAATTTATTATATTAAGCAGGGATGAGATTTTTCCGCTTTTTAGCAGATTTCTGCCTTTTTCACGTTAATCTCTAGAATTTCAGCATTTTTTTTTTAAAATCAAAAACACCAATTCTCTAAAAGTTTCACTTTTTTTTTAAATTATAAATGTTGAGGTTTTTCTAAAAATTCAGCCCTTGAAATAAAATAATTGTATTTATTTCCGTTTTTTCAAATTTAAGCAGAAATTTTAAACTTCATAGTTTCCAACCCTACCGCATTTTTACTTATTTTAACTACTCTCTCCGCTTTTATGTGCTGAAAATATCTTATAAGATTTTTCGCATTTTTACCTGCCAGCCAGATTGCTCGTATTTACGTAATTCAAACGTCGCTGATTGATTTGTGGTGAAAATATTTATTTGCCCACTCAATTAATCTTGTAAATTTTTATTAATTATGGCTAAACAAAAACAATATAAACAAGCTTCAGATAAATCTAAAGCCCGGAATCTGCTAATATCTTGATTCTTATTCACGTGATTTTAATATCAAACATCGATTCTTGTATTTACCTAATTTAAAAGTTACATATTGCGATTTTTATTCACGTGAATTAAATATCATATATTGAGATTCTTATTTATGAGATTTAAAAATTCAATATCCCGATTCGTATTTACACGTTTTTAAAATCCTATGTAGCGATTCATATTCACATGAGTTTAAAATTCCATGTTGTGATTAATTTCTACGGTTGTAATATCAAACATTGATTTTCGTATTTGTATGATGTTTAAAAATTATGCATCTTGATTCGTATTTACACGATCTAAAAGTTACACAGCATGATTTGTATTTTTGGATTTTAGAAATCGAATATCGAGTTCCATATTTACATGATTTCAAAATCCATTATCGCAATTCATATTCATGCGATTTTAAAATCCAAGATCGCTATAAATCAAGTAATAGTATTTATTGAAAGAAAGGAAATGTAAATGTATATTCTCAGTAGTTTAATGTGCTAAACTAATCAGATTTTCAAATAATAATTGTCTCCTTTGTGTGAACTGAAGAAAATATAATTTCTAACTTTATTTTTTTAATTGGTAATTTTACTTTTTACTAAATGTTAAATGTCGATGTAATTATTCATATATTAATAAATTAGTACACAATTTTATATCATTATACACATAGTTATTTATTATCGTAAATTGTCCGGAATTAATTATTAAAAGATTGCACATACGTAAGATGTACTCGCTTGGAAATTCAGCTTTTTTGCGTTTTAGTCAATCTCATCCCTGATTAAGAGAAAAACCGTTGAAATTTTTTCCAAAATGTAATGTAAAAACATGTAGCTATTAGTTTTGGGCCAGTAATTTAATAATGCACATTTCAGTGTTTTTAAATTTTTTTAAAATTTATATTTATTGTTTTAACTGATAAAAACATTTCTTGTTATGAAATTTATGCAAATCTAAAAATAGGCTGCCTTTAGAAAAATACTGATTTCTAATTTGTATTGGTATAATTTATGTGGAGAAAAAAATTATAGTTTAATGCTACATAGTTATATCCCTCATTTTGATTTAATCCTTATATTTTACATGTTTTGAGAGATACTGCAAACTGGAGTTATGTAGTGTCAGTTTATTTGGGGTATTTATTAAAGCTAGTTAAAAGCAAAATTTTTGATATCCTTTTCCCATCAGTTTGTTTCGGTCAAGAGCAAAGAGACTTCATAAGCTATAGCTGCCAACTCTACTGGATTTTCAAATAGACTGCTGGATTTTGCCAGTTTCTCCTGGTCTACTGGATTAATATAAATTCTTCTGGTTTTTGTACATTTTAGAAAATTCTCTCAAATTGACTGAGTTTCCTTAAAAAAATCCCTATTGAAATAGAATTTTTGTGCAGAGTCTTGCTTGCTTGAATATTTAAATAAGTTTCACTTATACATAAGGAAGCATTCCTCATTTAGAAAAATCAGTTTTGACGAAGTAAATGCCTATTTCAATTCAAAATTATGAATAAACATAATACATAACATTTTATTTTAAGGTCATTTAATGTGAAACCATGTATGCAAAAAGATTGCAGTTTTCCTATTTTGATGGCTATAAAAATCCCTAAGTGTTCAAGTATATTTTGCAACAATTATCAGGAAATTTGTTTTTTACGTAAATTATTGGATATTTTCTTATACCTGTTGGTGGCTATGATAGGGGAGAAAAGAAACATAATGAACCAAAAAGAGAAATGCTTATGCAATTGTTTTTAAATTATAATGACTTTACTTATATTACTACTCCGTTGATTTTTTAAATAATTGTTTTTTCTTTTCTTCCTAGGGATTCTCGTGTTCCAGTGGAAGGAGCATCACGAAGACCATATTTTTGAAGTTAAAATGCTGTTAATGCACTTTTTTTTACCATTACTTTTGTATTTAACAGTAGGCACATAAGCATCAAAACATTTTCCATAATTTTTAAAACATCATTATAAATTTATCAGTTCCCCTTCAGTTTTAATTTGAATGAGGTCTAAAGCTGCTCGACTTTGTATTTTTGTTTCTGAAAAAATGTATTTTTATAAGATGGTGACACGTCAAATCTATGCAATGTATTCAAATTGGTTAGACAGTGTACTAGTATTAGTATGTAAAATTCCGAGGTCAGAAAAATTTAATTTAACCACTTTTAAGAAATGACTTTTGTATAATGGTCTTTTTATTGTTAAATTTTGATATTTGCTTGTTAATTTGGCATCTCATTATATCACAATTGTTAACTATTATGTTTCTCAAACTGTAAGCATTGCATATATCTATCATTCATTAAAACAATATCATCCATTTTTTGGTGTCTGATTTCATTTTCCATTTACCTTATTTTTTCCTCTGGCATTTTCATGGTTTGGTTTTTATTTAGAGATTATGGCAGGGCAAACAGCCTAGTCGTCTTCGACAACTAAATATATAACTAGATTTATATCGTCAAAAAACTTCTAGATTTTAAGAAATATAGGCTGGTATATATAATTAATATAGTTTTAAAAGACTTTAAATAAATTTAGTAATTGTCGAATAAATTTTGTCATAATTAGGCACCAGCGTTAATAAATTGCAGCAGAAATTGAATTGTTAGCTGTTTAGTGGTAAGATCTTGTATGGTACACACTATTAATAACAATTAGAATTACACGTTTCATCACATTTAAAAGGGTGTATTTAATTTTAATTATATCAAAAAGTAGATTAATAAAACTGTTACAAATTTGCAACAATTATGCTTGAAAGTTTAGATGCCTTAGGATAGTTTTAAGGTTGTAACGTAGGAATCCAATCGTTAGTATAAAAGTTAGTGCAAAAAATTAAAAATATCACAAGTTATTGGGTTGCACTTTCTTTATTTGCGCTTTGTATAGCATGGAGAATAAATAAAAAACTGTTTGTTTATAAATTGATCAGTATTATAATTAATATTATAATTATATGGTCCTATATGGACATTATATATTTTGAATACTAATTATTTGTGATGAATAACTTTGTTTAATAATCTAGGTGTGAAGGATATGATAATTTAAAAAGTGGTGTATATGTTGAACCAATATGAAAGTTCAAATAATCTTTATTTGCATATTAATTTTAAGATACAACAGGTTCTTAGCTAGGTTTTAACGAAAATTCCAGAAGATGTTGTCAGGTATGAAATAAAAAATAGCGCCACAGTTTTTTTTGAAACCCAGAATTTGTAGTAGTCCTGATTTTCCAGATGAAAATTATTTTCTTTTTAATCCTGACATTCTTGATTTTTGTGTGTGTTAGAACATCCCATTTTCGAGCTATGGAAGTTGAAAAATAATTGATGTGAAGTATTGGGAGATACGGATTTTCGACCTTTCTATTTTGATTATCAATGCTCAAATATTTTAACTCCGTCCACTAATTATATGCACGTCCACTAACTATAGACTTGTAATTCTTGCTTTCCTATGTAACCTGTACCCGCAGGATTCATCTATTTTATGAGAAGGAAATTCAATAAACAATTTTCATCACTAAATTTTTATCTTAAAACTTTATTTTCAGCAAATGCAGTAACAAATCTGGAGTTGTGTAGTTTCCCAATTTATTTGTCTTTTTCATCTGATTTTAAAAAGGATAGATTCCGATCAACAATAGTGTAATCATGTAGAATTTTTAAATATTCACTTGGATTAAAAAAAATATCTACAAAATTACATTTGTACTAAGATGTTAATCATTGTATGAGCTAATATATATTCAGATTCGCACATGTGCTGTAATCTGCAAGTAGTCCTCATTTGATGACTTCAAGCACTTTTTGCGAACCTATTAAGGTGGCAGGCCATTTTAGATAGTTAAAAAAAAGAAAAATTATTCTGTTGAAGTCTAGAGGATTGATGAAAAATGTGATCATTTTGTAGGGCATTATTTTATATTTTCTAATACTTTGTAACAGTTTGAATATTCTAGTTTTCCGTGATTCAAATTATATAGATGAAATGAACCACAATAGCATTGGACACGAATTTTTTACTATACTGTAAAAAAATTTTAAAAAATAAATTATTACACCAGAACCCGAGATACTAAATCAAGGTGCGTAGCGTTTTTTAAAGGTGCTTTCTTTGGGTGTTTTGAAAAAGTGCTTAAATTTTCCCTTTTTCAAGTTGAGATTTTTTGATTTTCGCTTCGAATTATGCAAAAAGACACAGTTCACATAGTTCTGTTCAACGTTTTCACAATTAATTCAACCCCAATCTATTTCGGCGCATTGTCACTTCGTGGCGTATGAAAACGCCATTCGTTTCACATGATTCAAAATTTCATGATTTTTGACAATTGTCAAAAACAATGCCAAAAGGTTTTTTTGACGACGTTTAAAACAAGATAAAACCGTCAATTGTCAAAAACTTTCCAACCCTGCCTAGTTGTATTTTTTTAAAGTTCTTAAAAATATTTTTTGAGTGTTTAGAAGGTGGTTATTTTTTATTGAATAATTTGGCTATGCACCCTGTAAATGGACTCTAAATATTTTTAATTACCCAAATAAAAATTCATGCATCATCAAGTATATTTTATTCATCTGCGATAAAATTTGCCTTTAATGTACTCAAGTAGAGTAATTATTTCGTTGTTAGCTCTTTTTAATAGTAGTATGGTATCTGTTCCAAAACAATGTTCACGTTTTTGTAATTTTTTTTTTGAGAAAGCCCCGAATTATCTTTGGCTCAACAGCGAGTCTGTTTATTAAGGAAAGAAAAAAAGTGCCTTACAGTTCACGGTCTTTTACAGTTTTGAAATCGTTTACAACAAGTATGGTTAACAAACCACATTTATTTAACTATATGCTTTTTTTTAACCATTTACAACTAACTTAGTTTTAAAACCGTAAAAAAAGTAATTTAACAGAGTTTTACATTTGGTTTAGAAGCTTTAAGTTGCTGCTATCTATGCGTGAAGGAGAGTATCGTATTTTAATAGCCCAGGGTCACAAATTAAGGAGTTCAGGCAGGACCCTGGAAACTCTTCATCTGCAAAGGGAATGGAGGAAATATGGTAGTGTCAAGGCTGGGACTCAATCTCCTGTCCTGTTAGTTATGAGATTGACAAATTAAGTCTTCTCGGCTATAATATCTACCTATCGGATGAAACTAAGTGGCTTCATTAGGAGGGGCTAGTTGGTGTTTTAAAATTCTGGTTGCTTAACACGTTCGCTGCCACTGGCGCGTCAGAGCAGCACCTCCTGGCAAGGGCGTAGCCAGGATTTTTTTTCGGGGGTGGGGGGGGATATAGTAAGAAGCAAGGACGGTTTCAGGCATGCAAAGTAGGGGGAAAACATTGTAACAACTATTGTTTACTCTGTTGTTTGCAAAAGTTAAACTAGTAATTAAAAAATATTACATAATAATTATTTTTCAATTAATATTACATAATAATTATAATCAATTTGTAAACAAAGTTTACAAAGACATGCGACGGGGATTTGAAGAAAATTTTTCGATTACTTTTTTAGGACAAACCGGATTATCCCGAAATATGCTTAATAAAGTTAGTTAATAAAAGGTTTGATTCGACGGTTTTTGTTTTTCTTTGTACTGAGAGGCTTAAAGAAAGACTAAAAAGTTTGAATCGCAGAATTTCGGGGGGGGGATTTGTCCCGACAGTCCCCCCCTGGTTACGGGCCTGTCTCCTGGTATGCCGACGACGCGCTGGTGCGTCGATCGACTATGATAAGTTTTATGCTCCGTGTTTAGTGTGGCTTTGGATTTGTTGTTGTTAATTTACGTCGCACTAGAGCAGCACAATGGGCTATTGGCGAAGGTCTTGGAAACATCCTGGAGAGTGTGGCTTTGGAAGTTGAACGGAGAGGTTGTTCAGGCACGTTAGTGAAGCATTGTTTTTTGTGGTTGGTTTTAAAAATTTTTGTTTGAATTTTTTTGTGTGCGTAATTTTTTTTATGTTCACAGCCTAAGAAAAGTTAATAAAATATTGACTGATGCCGAAATATTAGAATTGTTACAAAATAGTGACCTTTCGGATTATGATAGCACAGACGAAGACTACGGTTGGAAATCTTCGGACGCAGAAATGTCGGATTCTGAGACAGTGCTTATTGTTTGTAAATATTTTCAGTATTGTTTCATAAATGGTACTACATATACTTGAATGGTATTTCGTTTTATTCCTTTAAGCTGCTATTTTATGCAATATGCCAGTAATTTCTGAGAATATTGATCAGACGCGCTGGAGCGTCAGTGGCACTCACTAAGACAGGTTGAGTCTGTGTGCCACTGACGCTCCAGAGCGTCGGGAAAAAAACTCTCTCTAAACAGGAAAATAATATGTTTCTTCGTTTTTCTGGTTTTCCTAGTAAAATATAAGGAACATTAAAACCCTGTTTTGTAATCCGGCTTCAGAAGATGGAAATATCATTTTTAGTGGCAGCGAATGTGTTAACCTTATTAGATGAAAGCAGTTAATAATTATTAAACGGTTTTTCTCACAGTTAACAGTTTGAATACCATCTTATGGTTGTTTGACTAGTTTAGTTTGACTATGGTAAAATAACTAGTAATTTTTTATTTAAAAAAATATTTACTTAAATAAAATAACAAGTAATTTTTACTTAATTGTTATCTAACAGTGTGATAGGCATCACTGTAAGTCATGACAGACAACAAATTTGAGGTTCAGTCAACCTTTATTTCTGCTTTACTTATTTGAAGACTATAGGCTATATGCTAACATAATTTTCACTTTTGTTTGTGACATATGTATTCATTCACAAAAAACAGACCTAATTTACATTAAAAGAAAGAAACCAATAAATATCTCTCTCATGTACAGCTCTCTCTGGACGTACCATTTATAAATGGTCTTTAGATATAAAAAGAATAATCAACAACAAAATGATAACATTTATTTACTTATCAATGATGTTATCATCAATATTGATAAAAAAAAAAATTCATGTTTAAATTAAATGTTTTTCTAGAATTAAAAGAAAAAGAAATTTTTGTTTCAAATATATAATTAGTTAAAGAATCCATTATTTTGTTATTATTAGTAGAGTAAAACAAGAGACATTAGGTTCTGAGAAATGGTGTTCATATTATAATAAAGAAGCTACATATTTCTATTTATTAGCTTTCAATTTAAATTTCGAAACTGCAATTTCATAGCTTGGTATATTTGCTGAGATACCAACTTGCACCGGATTGTGGTTAAATATTTTTGTATTGGTACATTTATTGCATGATTCTCAGTTATGTAAATTCAATTTATAGAATTCTTATCTACCAATACTATTAAATAAATCAAATGCGTATATAAAACCCAACTTTTCTTACAATTGTTTCGCGTTGAGCCTTTTGAAATTTTTGCAAAAGTAAATAAAATTCTGCAAACTTTAATATATAGTTACCTGGCATAATTTAAAATAATTTGTTGAATCCGGAGCAGTTGGCATTCCTATATCAGCGATGCCTTAAGCGACTAGTTATGCAAAAACTGGTAGAAACTCAATTCACTTTTATTTAGTTGTTATCACTTTAACACGTTCACGCCCGGGATGACCCACCGGTGGGTCACGCTAGATTGTCTCATCGGGCGGCGCACCGGAGTAAAAACTGGTAACAAAAAAATTTCATTTTTTTCCCGGGAATAATAAAAATCCATAACTACCAATTGTTTTTAACGGATGCAATTTTTATATTGAATTGCTTCTTCGCCGTGATAAATTTCCTTACAGTGAATTGTTATTGTTGAGAATAGATTAACTCCTCCCGAATATTATCTAATATTGAATTAGTTCTTCAACCTGTATTTTCTCTTTTCCGTCCCGCTCTCAGGGGCAACAGTCGGCGTGAACGTGTTAAATATTTAATCGTAACTACCACTATGGCTTACATTTCATATTATTCAATAACTAACATTTTTTACATTCACTTTCAATAGTAAACTGAAAAAAATATGCTGCAAAAGGTATAATCTTTAAATAAAAGTTTGAATTTTGCTAGTCAGCACTTTTTGCATTTTTAGTCGCCCGTGGCGACCCTACTATATTGTTTCAGAAATATTGAGTGTTGTGATAGCTTTCTTAAATTTGTTACAACTTTATAGCTGCCAACGTGTACGGCTGTTGAGAAAGATCATAGAAAGTGATAGTCTTTTAATACTTGTACCAAGAAGATTATAACAACAATAATAAAATAATACTTTAATAATTTATAATTATATTACAATAATAAAATAATACTTTAATAATCTCGAAGCCATTTCACCATAAGATTAATTGTCTAATATATCTTATATACATAGGTGTGAATTATTGATTTGTCATGGTAGTTAAAACAATTTAAGATTTATTTTTTAAAATTAAGGTTTTTTTTTTGCACTAAAATGCAAATATTATTCCCATTACAAAAAAAATTTCTCAATAGCCGTACAAGTTGGCACCTATGCAACTTTTTAAAGACCGTTTGAACCCTGAGAGATAAAGAAGCATGAATGCATTTAGTGACACAATCACACAATATGTCTGTTAATTTTTGCAAAATATAAAGTACTGGTAATAAAAACATCGTATTTCTACCTTTTTAAAGAAAGAAAAATAAACAACCCGTGACTTCCACTATTTATTAGTATCTTAAACATATGTATTTATTTGTTGTTGTAAAAGCTAAGGGTACTTTAAAATTTTTTTTTTAATTGAAAAGAATGGCGTCACAGCGAAAGAAGGTGCTTTTTGATCGTGAAGGTTTTTCTTCCGTATTATTTCCAAACTCAAATATTTATTGATTATTAATTCGTTAATTGATTATTAATTTTTGAAAAATGGTGCTGGAATAAATCAAATGAATATTTATAATTTCGTTGTATCTGGGAGCTCCTGTTATTTTTCCAAAGTGTTTTATTTATGAATCTGTTATTCTTTTAAGTCGAGTTTCTATGAGATATTTCACCATGATTTATTTGTTAAAGTTTACAAAATGTTGTATAAGTTTTAATTGTTTATAAAAACTGGATAATTTATTCTGTCATCAAAAAAGGCAAAAATGAAATATTTTCAGTACCAATCTTTTTTAACAACTATATTTTATGTATAATATATTCCAATTCTCCCTATCACGTGAATCTCAAAGTAATGAAATGTAATAATTAGTTTATTAAGAGAATCTTAAAAACAGTGTAAGGCGAAAGTTCAATATGCATTTCTCAGTTTTATTGCTGGTAATTGATAATTTTAATCAAAACATTGATTTTGATATCGTTTCCCCTCATCAATTAAACATTAATCTGAACATTAAGTAATGTCTTAATTTAAGAGCACTGAAATGGAACACTTTTTATTCATGGAAAAGGAAATAGATATTTGTTTGGTAAGCACTTCATATATGAATTTTAAAGTTGTATTGAATATGTTTCGCTTTTCAGGATTTGGATTGAATGTTGAGTTTAATGGTGCAAAAACCACTAAACTCTATAAGACATACTGGGCCAAATGATATTACTCACTCTAGACAAGCTGATCAAACTGTGCTGTAAGCTAATTCTGAACCCAAAAAGTAGAAGGGTAGACCACTAGGGCACATTGGATAAGGCTATTATTGTTAAGATTACATAGGATTGTAATGGCTAACGAATCTTAATTTAAAATTGTGTATTTTAAAGCTGTGGAAGTTGATATAAGGCAAGAGCTCCTTTTTCATAATTTATTTTAATTTTTTGATCTTCTGAATTAAGTACATCCATCGCTTTAAATGACACTAATTCGATTTATTATTAAATATATAGATATTCTAAATAAAACCCTTTTTTTTGTTGTTGAAAAGTAATTGTAAAAGCACAGCTTGTTTCTATTTAACTTTCGAATTTCATATTGCTCATAACCGGTATTTAAAAGGCGATCCATATAGTGGATGTATGTGTAGTGCTTGCTCGAGAAGTTCTATAGAATTGTCTTTTTTCTTTTTTTTTGTGTGTGTTTTAATTGAAAAGTTTGCTACAAAAAGGAGGTAGCTTCATTCTTAAATTTTTTCTCATTTGCCGTTTTAAAATTCCACAGACGAACCCTTTCTTGCTCTAACCCAGGGATGGTCAAACTTTGTTGGCGGAGGGCAAAAAATCGAAGGTGGGCCAAGTAAAAACTTCTACAATAAAAAACGATATAAAAGTTGTAATTTAATTATTTAATGAGATGAATGAAATTGCGATTTCATTTTTTCATCCATAGCTAATGTGCAAAATGTAAATTGTGCAATTTTTTATTCGAATTACAATTCACCTATATTATATTCCGTACATCTGCTCCTCAAGAAAGATAAACGTTCGTTGGCGAGCCAATCTACAGCTATTCTATAAAGAACTTCAACTTTCAACATTTTACCAATTAAAGCTGTCTGTGCTATCTATTTCCATCTTTTTATGTTTCGTAGAGCAAAAATAGAGAAAGCAAAAATGTCAGCAGTACTTTGTTAAAAGAGAAAGAACAAAAATAACTTTAAACAAATTAGACCAAAAAATGGATGTATAATATATATTGTTTACATTCACCACAGATCGGCAAGTTAAAATTCCATCCGCGGGCCGGATAAAACCTTCCGACTGGCAGCAGTTGGCCCGGCCCGGGGAGGGCGTAGTTTGCCCATCCCTGCTCTAACCTAACGGTGATACCAACTCTTTATTATATCTATCGCTGCATATCTATTTTTTAAACTGAAAATATTGGGGAAATGGAGATATGCAGTTCTTTCAAGCATTAATTTGCGCGCTCACGTATTTATGATCTGCAATGAACCAAAAGTGTTCCGTAGTAACAAGCGCTGCGCAGAATCTACATATGTGAAGGTGCAACATCTCTTTCCCATTTGATTCTTCACATACGTAGTGTCTACGCTGTGCAATTGCTATAGTACAATCTCAGTTGAGGTAAATTTGCGTACATGCGAGAAGCTAGGTGACAGTGCTAAATCTCTCGTATGCCAGCCGTAGCTCCTGTTGTTTCAAGTAAAATAAATATTTAAGTGAGTTATAAATGTGTAAAAATGAAGCGACCTCTTTTTTGCAGAAAACCCTTAATTTAAGAACATGGGAAATTTTCATTCCGAGTTGATTAATGTTAATGTGTAATGTGACTTTCATGAGCTAATTAAATGTCATAAGTTTTTATTTGGTTTCAACAATTTTAAATAATTATTTTTAATAATATATTTAGATAATTATGCAGTTACAAATTTAACTATGAACCTCATTTTTGTAATTTATGATTATTAATGATTAAGTTAAGGCTCTGTTTTATCATCATATTAATGATTTATTTTATAAATTAGGAAACACAATCATGTTTTTAAATTGAAGGAAAAAAATTGAATTAATAATGTCATTGAATAAGCAGTAGATGTTAAAGCATTTGTTATAATAAATTAATTATAAACTTTATACATGCATTTCAAGAATAGTTAAGATCTCTTTAATTTCCATAAATGATTATAATGGATATAATATGGAAATTGGTTTATTTTTGTAAAATTTCGAATTAAATAATTAAAAAGAGGAGGTATTTTAAATATATTTTTTAAGCTTTCTAGCTCTAAAAACATTGTTTTTAAAGGAAATAGTTTATTCAAAACTAAACTTAGCCATTCTTGAAAGAAAAAAAGATTGTTCAATTAAGTGCCATAGCTCTAATTTTGTTGCCTAAACATACATTTCTGGAGTTTTTGAGGCAAAATTGAAAATACGATCATTTTTAAGGCATTGCAAAATTTTAAAAATTTGCTGTTGTTTCCTGCATAGTTATTCTTAATTTAATAATACTAGTATTCGTGTCTGAACTATAAAAAATAGAATTATTTTAACAGCACCTTTAATGAGATTTGTTAACGCTTTCTTCGAATCAGATTATATTTTAAGTTAAGCCAGTTCTGTGTGAAATGAAACATCATCTCAATACCCGTACATTAACAGTAAATTGGGAAAAAAGAATAAGCAATGTGATTCAAATTTAGCAAAAAAATCGATAAAAATGGCGATACGAAATAAATTATTTAAAATGCTTGAAATTATCCAATGAAATCAATATTTTGAATTATAAATCGAATCTTTCTTTTATACCCGGTGATTCAAAACCTCGAGTTAATAGGTTTTATTAAAATGAAAAAATGATGATTCAAACAAACGAATCAATTTGTTGATTCGAATCTCCGATTCAGAACCCAACTTATGTCTTTAATATTACACTGCAGTAATGCACTTATATGATCTAGTCTCGGATTGATTGGTATCATCGAATTAATAGATTATCGTCAGGGTAAAAATGATGCTTCAAACCGATGAATTGATTCGGTGATTCGAAATTAATTCAGAATTCAACTTAAGTCTAATATTGCTCGTCTCGATGTTTAAGAATATTTACATCCAGTTCCAAAGGGACTGAATACAATGGATACGGATATAGTGTTATTTAAATAATTTAAACTTAAAATTTTTTTCTTCGAAATTATGGCTTTTCTTTTCTATCACTTAGAAAGATTAGCTTGAACGATGAATTTAGGAATTAGGATTATGACATTTGACTGTTAAAGTGAAATTTATTAGGTTAATAACGCTTGAATATCTTAAATTTTTTTTTACAAAATTTTTTGAAAAATTAAGGTTTTTCTTATTCATTAATTAATGAGAAAGTTAGTTTGCACAATGAATTTAGAAATTAGGGTTAATGGCACTAAATTAAACTCGATTCTTGTCACCTTATTTTCCAAAAGGAAATTAGAGTTATCAAAATGGTAAATATATTAATGTACAATACTTCTTATTTTCTTATATATTAATATTCAGAACATGACATATGCTCGTTCATATTTGTTGGGAGTGCGAAATGCAACGGTGCTAATTCCCCAAAATCCATTGGTTAACACATATTGCTGAAGTTATAAATTCTCTCAATAATCCTCTGCAGTATCTCTCGTGGAACATTTCTGATGAAACGTTTGGCAACACTTTGATAATTGAAATGGCTGCTCCAGCTATCTAATCACAGAAGAGATGCTTTCTGTCAGAAAAGGCTTCTTTCATGTATCTCGCTGGCACAGCGGTCTTTGTAAACTCGTTCCAACGGATGTTTGGTCTTCTGCAGAGTTTGACTTACAACAATGCTAAAAGACTCATTGTAGGTGTCCTTATTGCACCAATTTTGGCATTCCTGCATTTGAAAGAGGTTTATAAGTTTAGATATTGTCTACCTCGAACAGAAATTACGTTATTGCATTTGCTTTTACCAGTATTTTTGCTTTTAAGCAAGCATGTTTGTTAACAAACTAACACAGAGATTGCACCATTAAGCAACAGTATTCAATCTGTCTTAGTACTTAATTTTATACAATTAACCAACACAAATTCGAAACTTTTGACCACTTTTTTCGATGTTCACATGTGGCTGACACTAGCCACAATTATAAAATATAAACACAAAAAAACCTCAAATTCGTCTTCAAGGAACTGTTTACCTGAATCATTCGATGGTGATGCCAACTGTGTCCGCGTTGGCACGCAAAAACAGCATTGGGAAAAGCATATTTATATTTTTTGAAAGATCATGCAGAGACCTAAAAGACCAAAAAATGGTTGGAACGAGTAGAATTATATCGTGCTAGACAAATATACCGACACATTCTATTTTTGTTTGTGTCTCACACGTACCATTCTTTGAGGTCTTTGACATCTTTCTTTTTTGGTTGTTTAACCATTTTGTTCTGGGTGGGGTCACACTTCAGAACTCCATTCATGTGCTGAGCTGAAGGTGGCTGGGACTGGTAGGGCGCAGTGCCGGCTGGTGGAAAGTGGTATCTTTTCTGGCTTTCATCTACTTTATAGCCATTTGCACCAGGAGAAGCAGCTAGCGTCCAGCTCCTGACCCGATAAACAACAAGAGCGACTATAACAACTACGATCAATACCCCAGCTATGATACCAATGACCATCGCTGTGTTGTCAGCTGCAGATGATGTCTTGATTTTTGGAGGGGGCCTGTTGTTTTCTCGACCAATAGCAGGATCCATCGGAACTGGTACAATGAATGGAACCGGTGGTGCTCTGGAAGATGTTCTGAATGGAGGTCGCGGTGTCTGCTGTGGAATGACGGGATACAATGGCGGAGGCGGCGCTGGACGTTGTTGATGTGTAATCACCACATCATCAGGTATAGGTCTACGATAGAGGGTGGTTGAAAGAATGGTTGGAGGCGTAATAATGATCCTTTGTACGGTGTCGTCATGAGTTGGAGGTGGAAGCATTCTCGGAGGTGAGACGAAATTCTCTAAATTATCCCGATGACTCCCGGTGGTTGTAATAAACGTTGGAGTTGCTGGTGTATTTTGATGGGGAGTGAAATTAACTTCACCCAGTCCGGAACCTCCCTCGATGCAATCTTCTTCGTCATCGCAAGTGGTATCTTCCAGACCTCCTCCCACAGGGTGTCGTGGAGGAATGGAAGATCGACCATGAACATAGCTTGCTCCACCACCCCCTGTTATACTGGGTGTAGTTCGAGGGTATGGTCTTGGAGTAGGTGGTATATACACTGGAGTGATGAGATCATCTCCTGCAAAATAAAAAAAACAAGACTGGTTCAAGTGAAAGAAAAATGTACGAAGTAGATTGCTACAGCACTACATGATTTCAATTAATTTAATTTTTTAAACGAAACATAAAAAATTTGCTTACGGCTCCTGAAGAACAAAATTTTTTAAGAAGTTAATTTAATACAAATTACTCGTTTTTCATTCCTTTTCCGAGAATTATAAAATACTGAATATTCGAAAATAAATGTTCATAGATTAAGAAAATTCAATTAAATCTTTTTTGTCGACTTTTTTTTAAAAAATTATTTCCACAAAAAAATTTAAAAAAATCCGTTACCCCTTTCTGTGAATTTATCCTAATGTTCCTCGGCAGAAGCCACCCATTCCTGTAAGCCTGATCTATCTTTACAATTTATTTAAAGGCATTTGAATTACGCTGAATATTTGAGTAAATTGAGATTCATATTGATGACTGTTAAGTATAACTTTGAAAAGCAAGTGTAAGAAGAATTGAGGGGAAGAAATCCTCTATTGAGGGGAAGAAATTCCGTAATTTGTTTGATCCTATAATAATATCATAAAAGAACTGCACGACAGAAAAAAATAAGGAAGAGACATTGTATGCATCACTTTTCTTTGAGGAAAAATCACATAGTTTGTCTAATACTATTTCAGATTAGAAATGAATTAAAAGTGAGGTATAATATAGTAATTAACGGTCACGCGCCAGTTTGGAGTGTTCAAATCATAATTCTTTTGACTTGAGAAAAATGGAAAAACTTGAAATACACGCAAGTTATCAAGCAAATAAATACATTACCAATATGATAGTCACAATAGTTATGCTGATGAGTAATGCTATATTGCGTGTGTATTTTTACTGTATTATTCCTATGGTGTACATGTCGCTTGATTCCTACCCTTCCACTTTTCTGATTTGCCATTTTCAGCCACCGTAACTCTCCTCTGCTACCGTGGTTTTTTATGTTTTGTAATTCACCTTTATTTCTTTTTTCGCTGGCAATCTAATGTTTTCTTTTTTCATATCTATTATGCTTTTTTTATTCACGTCTGATGGGTCTTGAGAATGGGCACCTTTTTTTCGAACGTTCGAAGCCTGTCAACCTTTATAATTTCTGAAGCTAATGAAGTTTTTATATTTTCAAGTATAATAAGTTAGTATAGTTTGTGTACTAATGGAAAAGGTAATAGTTTGACATACGTGTTTTACCTGGTGTAGATTCTGCTTCTCCGCAATCATCTTCGTCATCCCAGCAGCCAGAACCACCACCTCCTGAGTAGACCAAATCATCACCTTCATAATTTGGAGAGGCTCCTGCATGCTGCAGAGTGCAAAAAAGAATTATTATTCATAATTTTCTAGTAGACTACATTTAAACAACAGAAACTCTTTGATGTTTAATAAAACGACAATTACTTAAAACTTCCAATATTTTTTTTTTTTTTTTTAAATGATTGAAACATGTTTACTTTTTTCTGTTTTGTTTGGGTTCATTGGCAAGAACATTTTTATTTTGTTTTTTGAATTTTCTAAGCAGTTTGTTGTAAAAATATTTACTCTTAGAATCCCTGTCAAAAGTATAGCGAGGAAAAGTATACACATAAAGAATCGCAAATTAATATGCAAGAGAGGGAAAAAGAAAGATACTATTGAAATTTCAGAACCAAAACTGAGAAAGATTGGACTGAAAAAAAAAAATCAAAATCTGTTTGTTTGAGTTGAACGGCGTTTATTTGAAACACCCCAATGTTTCATCAGGTTAAACCAAACAGATTTTGATAGTTTTCCTCGCATTTTTTTCATGAGTGATTCGACATCTTCCTACAGCGTTCTTGTATGCTCATAGTTTTTTTAAAATTTATTTCTTGAAAAAGCTTCTGAAAATATATGTTAAAGATGAACATTACAGAACACCTTGTATTGAAAGTCAGCCCACATTCATATAGCAGCTATGCTAGATGTGATCAGATTCCACATGTTTTCAAAGTTTTATAGTATCATAAGATAATGAGATTAGGTGCATTAAAAGTTTGAACATAACATAGTGAGAGCAGTTTGAAAATGAAGCAGCATCAATTAAGTGTATTGTTAATCGCTTTGCCTTCTGAGCGGCTCTTTCATGAGCTTGAATTAAAAAGAGTTTTTGAGTTGTTTCAGAGTCATTCTTAAGTGTACATTTAAGGCAGAACTTGAATGGAACCATTGATGTGCAGTCTTTAATATTTTTGAGTTAATATGGAAAACATCTCTACAATACAAGAATGTCATAATGCTTTTTGATTTGCAGCTATCTTAATTTGTTGGTGTATGCGTGGTGTACTCTAATTTGAGTACATAATGAAGAAGCAGAAAAACCATTTTTTTTTTAAAGTTTTCATTCTTTTTTTATTTTATCTTCAGACATAAGAGAACGACACCTCAAAAAATTACAATTTTACTGAATTGAGTTTTTCTAAAAATATGATTTTCGTAAATATGATGAATGGCTAGACGAAATTTGCCGAAAATGAAGATCTTAGGGTGGTCACGGCTACCTTCCGTGACATCCCATCCCATCCCTAAGAAGATAATCTCTTCGTTATGATATAGGTAAAGAGAGTCATGTCAATTCTTCAAATTATCATCATTGGGAACGGTCTTACTCTTGTTCCCATAGCAACAGACTTATAGTCTAGAGGAGTTCTCGTGAAAGCTGGACTATACGTACTTCACGCTTGCGCACTCCGGGTTTAGTGGAAGGACCAAACTGGACAGAGTAGTGATTAGTGAAAGTTAAGTTACTATCAAGTAGAACTTTGCAGATACAATATATTTAAAAAAAATAATTACGAATAGAACTTTATTTAAATGCGTGCCAGTGTGAGACCATACCTGTTGCATTTGATGGTGGTCTTGCGGCACTGATCTCTGTTGAAGACTTAGAGGTAAGGACATTAGTAACTCTACATCTCCTTGCACTGATATCCGGGGGTCATCCTCTGCAGCCATATCCAGTATTCGATCACCATTGACCACTAGACCTGATATGATACCTTGGAAAGGTCTTTCTATGCCACCTCTTAGGGGATTCTTTTTTCCACCTACTTGAATTGTTGAATGGCTGTTGAAGACTGTCAGCTGACGCCCTATATAAATGAAATAAATTCTAATTCAGCTCAAAATTGTCCAAACAGTTTATAGGTCAACGTAAAATTTAGTTTCATTGGATATATCATGATGTACAGCGTGTTGTTATTAACACCTTTAATATATATTTTTAGAATCTTTGTTAAAAATAAAGACAAAAACTATGACCATTAGCTGTCAATATTTAAAAAATAAATAAATAAAAAGACAATCGAAATTTATGAAATAATGACTGAGAAAGGCAGAACTGAAATGATCCAAACCTGCATGTTTATCAGTCGAACCAACTGGTTTTAATGTTTTCATTCTGCCCTTTTCACTAGTAATTCGACACATCTCGATAGCGTGTTTTGTTTTTTCCTCGAGTAGATACTAATTTGCAACCCCAAATGCCTATGTTTTTTTTTTACTCTCTTTTTAACAAAAAATTTAAAAATAACATATATGGATTATGGAGCGCTATGTATACAAAGAGAAGCGTGGGGCAAAGTTTTAATGGCAGGTAAAAAATCATACTCTATTTTTGCACACCTTATATGATTGGTTTTATAGGTTACACAAAAGTTTCAACTGCAAAAATCAGTAAAAAAAATTTGCTTCCTTGAAATTATGGAACTTTTTTTAACCAGGCATTTAATGTAATGTTCTCGGTGGTATTAGAGCCAGAATACTTCCACGGATGGTTGAGGAGTGTGGTACGGAGAGGGAAAGGTACCTTTTTTTAACGTTAGCAAATTTTATTCCGTAATGAGTGATACTGGGTTTGAAAAATGTTGATTTAAAACTAATTTAAACCAACGCGAAATAATTAATTAATAATGTACACGAAAATGTATAGAAAACCCCAGAAAATGTTGTCGTGGTTGTGTGTGGGGCCTCCCTGGCCGAGTAGTCTCAGTGATCCAACAAACACTCTACAGCGTGATGGTAGCGGGTTTGAATCCCCTCCCCCCAACTCCAGATGTATCTTTGTGTTGTCCTTCTTTAATTTTTTGTACTTGATGTTCAAGTTTACTAGGGTTAAGCCGTAATTTATAAAGAGCACACAATTCTGTATATGTATGTGTGATAATAAATAAATAAATAGAATGACGGACGGGGTCAAGTACTGACGAAACTTAAAAATATTGATAGTTATTTTAATGCTTTTGCTCTTTTCTTTCCTAAAAAAATTCTATAACAAAATTTTTTATAAAAAATCTTTAGAAAAAATCGTAAAAGTTGGTAGCTGTGGGTCTTGTAATCTACAGCGACGTTTACAATCAAACCAATTATATATTAAACGAGTAAATTTCGACACAATTTTTTCTTCTTCCAGCAATGGAAATTATCAAAATGAGGTTCATTATTGCTTCACAAAGAATCTTTCATTATCCATTGTACAAGCTGCACAGCTGAATACTTTTATCGAAGTAACATCACCTTCTAGCTCTATTTTTCTTTATTGTAATCATAATAAATAGGTTTGGGTATTTTCCAGATTGCTTTTAAAGTATATATTTTATATTAATTTTGTAGCAAAATCAAATCAATATATTTTAATAACATACTATTCGATTATGCTGATATTATAGTCCTAATAATCGTAAATTAAGTAAAATGATTACTTGAATTGATTGCAGACTAAATATTGATTTATATCTTGAATTTGATAATCAGATGATTACTTACCTGGTGGTTGTTTAACTCTCACATTATGGTCATCTACTTGAATGGTCGAATTCGGCCCTGAGCGTGTAAAACGGACCACGTGATACTGTCCATCATTTACATGAACACTGTGTTCCCCAATAGGATGGTCTTCAGTTCCCATATTATAAACCATAAATATGTTTCCATCTACCTGTGGACAGGAGTTAAATTAGGAATAAGATTGAATATTTCGTTGCGAAAGTTGAATATTTTCTGAAGAAAAAAAATAAATTTTTAGCTACTTAGACTTAGGAAAGAACTAGACTTCTATTAGTTTATTTTTTAACTAGATGTCAGTACTCATTAAACATATATTTGGGATTAACCCAAAAATGAACACATGCAGGGTTTGGACAAAAATATGGATGTACTTCTAACTTTAGAAAGAATTCGCTTGAGAAAACTGATGGAACAATTTAAAAAATTATGCTTGAAGCTTTTAGAAATAGTGTTCTTTTTACCCATGCAAAATTTATGTCGACCAAAATGATCGCATGAAAATAAAAAAAGTTTAGTTCTTCTTTTAGTACCACTATAATAATATATTTTTTATTTTAATATAAAAATTTCAGTTCGTTGAAATAAATTAAATTTATGAACGAAAATTATTCTACTTCCACAGAATTCTGCTGTGGATAAAAATAAAGAAAATTGTTATATTATTAATACCACTATAATAAATTTTTTTTATTATTAGTAATATAAAAATTTTAGATTAATGAAATAAACCCAATAATTCAACGTAAAATTTTTCTATTTCTACAGAATTCTTCTGTGGATTTTATTTTTCTAAATTTATATAACTTCCAGTACATGACTACTCTAATTTAGATGAATCGGTTAGTGTCAATTCGCGCCTATTGCCTATATTCAGCATCTATCGAATGATTTCATAATTGTTCAGTTAACACGTTCACGCCGGGTGCTGCGCCTGAAAGCGGGACGGAAAAGAGAAAATACTAGAAGAAGAACTATTTCAATATTTGATAATATTCGGGAGGAGTTAATCTATTCTCAACAATAACAATTCACTATAAGGAATTTTTTTCACTGAAAAGAAGCAATTCAATATAAAAATTGCATCCGTTAAAAACAATTGGTAGTTATGGATTTTTATTATTCCCGGAAAAAAACTAAAAAATGAAATTTATTTGTTACCAGTTTTTACTCCGATGAGCCGCCTGATGAGACAATCTAGCGTGACCCACCGGTGGATCACCCTGGCGTGAACGTGTTAAACAAAAGGTTATTTTACTTCATCTCCTTATTTTGGTCGATCTCTATTTTGCATTGGTGAAAATGACATCTAAAAGCTTTAATCTAATTTAAAAAGCTTTAATTTAACTTTTTTTCTTTTAAAACCTTTAATCACGATCTTTTAAAATGTTCCAACATTTTGGCCACGTAAATTTTTTCCAACACAATTCCAGCGAAAAGAACGAGTGTTTACTTAGAGTTAATATAGAAGTGCTTCCATATTTTTGTCCAACCCCTGTACATGTACATACATTTAGTTTTATATAATTTTTAGGATTAGGGCACTTTTTTGATCGTTTTCTTCAAAACTATGCAACCATAAAGAGCAGGGCCTGGTTATCGCCTTGGCCCAATAGACAGGGTTAGTCCTACGTCATCAACGATGTCACTAGCTCTCCACGTTCCAAACTTTGTTTTGAACGGAGCAAACAATATGGCGTTTCTCATGTAGTTAAAAGTGGGACAACTAAATCTTTGAATCTATTAATATAGAGTCGAATTTAACCACTGAAATGGCAAGAAAAAGTGTTGCATATATTAATATTATGTTAATCTCTTTTTATGATATTAATTGGAGTAGCTTATTAATTGTAAATGATTATGAAAACTTTTTGTATATATGATTGAGAGAATTTGTATTTAATATTTACCATATAAATTGTATTTATAATCTGGAAATCGGAAATTTGTGAATTTTATTATTTGGAAAAAGTTATTTCTAATTTATGTTTAATTTTTCTTAAAATATGTATATTATATTAAATCAATTTTTTTTATAATATTGAGACAACTTATTAATTGTAAATAATTATGAGAATTTTAAAACAAATTAAAAAGTTATGTAAGAAGCATGAATAAAGTCAGATAAATTAGTGAAAATTATAAAGCATTTTAGATACACGTTTTTAAAATAGCTCAAATTAATTGGTAAATTTACTAAAATGATAGGAAGAAAAAAAAAAAAAAAATTATATAAACAAAAGAGTTGACAGGTCTTAAAACATATTTACAACCAAATTATGAAATAAATATGGATGACTTGAATGTTACGTTCACTGCAACAAATAGAATATTACTATGAAGGTAATTTAAAAAATTTTGATTTAGACTGTCAAATGCAAATTTTATTCTATAAAAAGTGATAACAGTAACATTTGCCAAAATAAAAGCTGTATAACTAAATATGCATACATACATTAAAGAATTAAGTTTCTAAATTAAAAAATTTCTTAAAAATTTGAATTATATTTATTTGAAATGCATGCGAAATTAATATTATTAAATAAGTAAAATTTAAACACCTATGTGAATACATAGATTAATAAATATGAATGTTAAATAAAAGTTTATGTATGGGATAAGTATGTTTTAAAGAATTCTAAAAAAATTCATGTTGCACTTTCTTATCGAATAAAATAGGAATCTGAGATTTTAAGATAAATTCATATATAACACCTAAAAAAAATTGTTCCTCTCACATTTTAAAATGAAAATTAGAAATTTAAAATTCTAAAATAATTTAGCTATTCTATATATTAAAATTCTGGAAACTATACATAGTATTGACCCTTTTAACATAACACTACACTTTAACATAGCACTACACTAGTTACGTTAAGAAATAATCTAATATTAATTATTTAATAATAAGGTATCTTAATTTTTTCAAAAAATTAATGCATAAAACTACTGTTAAAAACTGATAAATACAAACAAGAAAAAATCTCAAGTCAAAATAAATCTGAGTTTAAACTAAAACTCTGTGCAGATTTAACTATATGTATACATATTAAATAAGTTAGTTACATAATTTATTCCTATTTAATAGTTAAAAACTAAAGCTTATGAGAATTAGCAGCAATAATCAGAAAATCTTAAGCAAACAAAGTTTACAATAACTACAAATTTAATCATCAGGTATAATTTAATAAACAGACATTAGTATTGATAAATACAATCTAATTATAGATTAAAAATTCATTTCTGAACGTTTTAAAACAATGCATGCCTTTCCATAACTAAAGAAAAAAATTAGATGTAGGTTAAGAATATGTAACAAATTCTAAATAAAATAAGACATTATTATAAACATGAAACAAGAGTTAAAAATAGTACTGACGCTTAAATTTTTATAGATCAAAATTAAAGATAACCATTTTGAAACTTTTTTTATAGCATTTAATGCACTTAACTCATAAAATCTACTGAATATCCCATATTATGAAAACTACATAAATTAGGAATATGTCCCTTAGAAGCGCTATATAAATTTATTTATTTCAATAATAAACTAAAAATCTTGCCGTCTTAAATTCACATAGGAAATGCCATTGAAATGGTTCGTTCGAAAAAATGTTTGGAACGCGTTTGGAAGGAGGCGGGGTGAAATACTGTCCCTGTCTATAGGCATGGGCCTAGGGCCCGCCATTTTTGAGGGGCCTTTAAAATTAGTAAAAAGTCTAATGGAAGGTGGTATAGCTTTGTGTTACTTTAAGTACTAAATGAAAAATAATTACAGCTTACAATAAAAGTATTATTCAATTGTTAGTGGTCACCAAACTAATTTTATTTTGACATAACATTGTTTTGTTGTTATATATTTTCCTTTAATTTATAGATTCGTAAACTTCATCTTAGAATAATAATCTTTAATTACCTGCTTTCAAAATTTCTTAGAATGTTTATCTTGAATTATGTTGTTCAATAGATTCTTTTATATTGTTAGAACTAATTACTCAAAATATTATGTAAACTTCAGTAATTTAATTTCAAAATCTTTTTTAAGGGGCCCGGAGAATTCGGTAGGCCTTGGGCCTGAATTTGTCTTGATCGGTCCCTGATTAAGAGGTTAATAATATTAAAGGTTTACATTGTCAAATAGTTCTTGCTTACAATCGTGAAATAAAATGTTATATCGCTACTTATCTACAGACCAAAGTGCGGTTTTTCGACAGAAAGTGTTAAAAACGGCAGATACTTAATAGTTTTGAAGTGTGAAAATTAAAACGGATGAACTTCTATCTAAATTCAGAGAACACCAAACAATTACTAATTCTTCTAAAAAATAATGGGAAGTTTTTTCTAAAAGTCCCTTCCTTCAATCATCTGCTTGAATACTTGTGAAGCGAAATATTTTAAGGATCTAAATTATTATTTCTAATATATTTGTAATTATGCGTGTAAAAATTTTGTCACTAAGAAAAAAAAAAAAAAAAAAAAAAAAAAAAAAAAAAAAAAAAAANAAAAAAAAAAAAAGAAAAAAGACATGCCATAAAGAAGAAATATTTCTTTCCCTAAGCCTACCTTCTGGCTGATTAATTTCTAGATGAATCGCTGTCTTTTCTTTGTCACTTTTTTTTCCATGGTCTCTCCATTCTTAATCTATTTATTCAAACTTTGTCATAAAACAATTATCTCTGGACAGGTGTAAGTAATTACGTTATATGCTCTGTTTAACTTAATTATAGTTTACCAGATGCAGCATTTGCGCTTCATGAAAAATTTGAGTTTGTCATAACATTAAACATGTGTCCAATTTTGAAAATATCGTGCGTAACTTTAATTATAACCATCAGCCGTTGTCAAAAAAAATTGATTGTTTAATAGCATTATTAATAAAATAGTTGTTAAATAGCTTAATTATCAGAGTGTTAAACATACTTAATTAAATGGCTTGATTAGAATCGCATTTTCTGTAAATAGTTAAATTAAACTAAAGTTAAGTTAAACTAGTCTAATTCAGCAAATTTCTGTTTACTTAATTTTTACATACGAAGGCTCCATGAAGTAGATTGATCATGGAGTCACACATGAAGTATTCAAATCATGTCTAGTCACTTTATTCAACCCTGCCCAGTGTCCTTTTAAAAAGATGACTCCTTTTTAACAAAAAGAAAAAAATGGAAATACGAGTGTATAATTATAAAGTATTATTCTATATAAACAAGGGAATTCTGTCCACCAAAATATCTTAATAATATAAATATTTATATTCGTATCTCAACAGTGTATTTTTAAAGTTAAAGTGGTAGGTGACAAAAAGAAATAACCACTTGGTACAAGTCAATACCGACAGTCACTTTTATCACATAAGTGTTCATGCACAACCCACTATCTAAAACCAGCGCTCTCTATGCTTATTCTGAAAAAGGCACAAAACGTTCATTTGGAGAAAAGTCACAGTTTTGTGAAAATGAAAAGCATTTGTGGTTTAATTTTTTAAAATTTGTGAACTTACCCCAATGCTGCATTGTCTGAGCTCATAAAAATTTGCAAAAATTGAGAATAAGGTAGTGATTTTGATAATTTTCATCTAGGTGGGAAAATGTCGCCAAATTGGATATATTAAAAACGTTTAATGACTTTTAAAATATTTAAATTATTTGTCCGTTCTTAAGCCCGGATAATTTTTCACCCCAAGATGGTATATATACGAGGCGCATCCAGAAAGTAAGTTTAATTTATAAAAAGAAAGAACTCACACTTTCAGAATCATATTTATTGGCAACAAGTACACGAATGTTTAAGCTATTTTCCAACATAGCCACCACCAGAATTGAGACACTTGTCGTATCGTGGGATCAACTTTTGTATCCCTCTGTCATAGAACTCTGCCGTCTGTGAATGGAACCAGTGTGTGACAGATGTCTACCGTTACTGTGACCGTTACTGCGAAACACTGCGGAAATTGTGACTTGCCATTCAAAACAAGAGTCATGGAATGTTTACTGCAGGTGTTGTGCTCCTCCATGACACTGCTTGTCCACATACGGCATGGCGTATAGCAGCTGTTCTGACGGAATTTGGCTGGGAGTTGCTTGATCATCCACCCTTCAGCCCTAATATTGCTCCCAGTGATTTTCACGTCTTCTTGCACCTCAAGAAATTCCTGTCCTCCGGTGAGCGTTTTGGCAGCGACGAAGAACTGAAGACGTCTGTCACACGTTGGTTCTATTCACAGGCGGCAGAGTTCTACGACAGAAGGATACAAAAGTTGATCCCACGATACGACAAGTGTCTCAATTCTGGTGGTGGCTATGTTGAAAAATAGCTGAGACATTGTTGTACTTGTTGCCAATAAATATGTTCCTGAAAGTGCGAGTTCGTTTTTTTTTATAAATTAGGGAGACTTACTTTCTGGATGCGCCTCGTAGTTTAAAATTATAGCGCTTTGCTTCAAGTGTGCAAGGCACTAAAACTGTAACCTTTACAGTTTTAGTGCCTTGCACACTTGAAGTAAAGCGCCATAATTTTAAACTATATATGTTTCTTGACGAAATTATTTTAAACTATGTTATTTTCCTTGACGAAAGAGCTTGAAAAACCATGTTAAACGCGTTGTGATAATATCTTAAAGCTCACATTTCAAGAACATGTCCTTTTCGCTAAAGCCCATTTTTAGCTTTGTCAACGTTTTCAATTACACATTATGAGCTACGTCAAAAGCGCATTTCAAGAATATGTCATTTTCCTCCAAAGCTCATTTTTAACTATATCCATATTTTAAAGCACACATTTCATGAATATATCTTTAAACGCATATTTTGAGTTCTGTTAGTTTCTTTCAAAAATGCATTTTAAGTATAAGTAAAGTGACGTTAAAGAAGAAGAAGAATAGATAGGACTTACTATCTCCAACTCCATGTAGTCGTTAGAAGTACCGCTATCTATTCTTACTAGGACACCATTATCAGCCATTGTGATGAATCCAAGAGCAACTAGATCTGCTTTGGTATCAGGCATTTTGTCCGGGGGGAAAGCAAAAGTTATAAGTCCCGTTCCTGGACCAAATTCGTACGAAATGCTCTCTGAATCAAATATGAAAAGAAAAAAAATTAGCTGAAAAATTGAAATAACATAGTACTATAACTTTACCATTATGTAGAAATTCACAATTTTATGAAAGTTGATCAATTCAATATAATTAATTATATTATCCATCTACACATATAATACACAACCATTCATCACTCAATGAATAAAAAAAACAACATAAAATTACGAAAAACAAAAAAAAGTATAAATTTGTTTTTCTTTACCATCATTACAAATGGGCCCCGAGAAAGATGTCATGTCACAGTCACAGGCATAACTGTTCCACATTTGTACGCACACTCCGTGATTGGCACAAGCTGTATGGCTGCACTTTGTTATGGGACCTAATTTTGGGGGGGAAAAAGAAAGAGATATTAAATAATTCATTTACATTTCATATGTATGAATGAAATTATATTTATCATAACAAAGAAAGAACAGTTTGATTTTTATAAACAAATTTATATTTGTTATGTGTAAATAACATCGTGTTAATTAATTGAAGGCTTTGCGTAGAATCGAACCAGGGTTCCCACAGGCGTAGGAAAATAATAGTGGTAGTCAGTTTTCGTTAACCTCTTCGATATGAGAGTTTTAAATTTTTTACCTTTACGATTTTGAAATCGTTCACAACTAGTATGGTTAAAAACACCACAAATACAAAACTATGCACTTTTTTGAAAACCATTTACAACTCGCATGGTTTCAAAACCGTAAAAGAGAATTTTAACTGAACATTAGAGATATAGTTTAAAAGCTGTATGATGAAGCCATCTATGCGTGAATGAGAGTATCGTATTCTAACAGCCCAGGGACACAAATCAGGACACTGGAAACTCTTCATGCGTTGAAGGGAATGGAAGAAATATTGTGGTGTCAACGATTGGACTCGAACCCCCGTTCTATCGATCATGAGATTGACAGATAAGCCCTCTGAGCTATAATATGTACCCATCTACCAAGAACTAAGTGATTTCATTAGGTGGGTCTAGTTAGTGCAATGAAATTCTAGTTGCTTAACCGTATTAAGTGAAAGCAGTTAATAGACAGTTTTTCTCACAGTTAACAGTTTGAATACCATCTTATTTATGGTAATTTGACTGTTTTGTTTGAATATGGTAAAATAACAATTAAATAAATTGTTATTTAACCATATTCTCCAAGAAAAGTTACATAGTGTCTGACTTAAGGCATTTATAGGTTCAGGGTCCTCACAAGTTTTAGAAAAATTTAATATTTATTGCGAAAATGAGTCAAACCATTTCATAGATTTCTGGCCACCACTACGTGTTATTTTGTAAAGAAATAGCTGTGTGAAAACTCTGTTCTACGAGTCCTCTGAGTGGTATTTTTAACACATTGCTGACCGGTCACGAGTTAACTGGTGTTTTCGTTAGCAGTGATCTCGTGGTGACTATTTTAAAAAGTGGGCGAAATTTTCCTTACTTTTCCAGTTTTACTATTTAATTCTATACCAATTCATTATAACTTTACGAAACCCGATATATTTGCAAAACTTGTGGTGTACCAGCTGATTGTTAACTTTTTATCATACGGCATTAAAAATTAAATTTTTTTAAAGTTTATTTAAATTGTTTTATTTCCATATCCGCTTTCAAAACAATAGCCGGACACATGAGGTAATTTTCAGAAATTTGTCGGTCAGCAATGTGTTAAAATAAGGAAATTCTTACTAGCGTTAACATGGATTTTCTACAAATTATAACAGAGCCGCGATAGCTCAGGGAATAGAGCGTTCGCCTTTCAATGAGGCGAACCGGGTTCGAATCCCAGTCGATACGAATTCCGCATTCGGCTTGCACCGACCACAGTACTGACGTGAAATATCCTCAGCGGTAGACGGATCATGGGTTAGAGTCCCCTTACCGTCAGGCTAACCGTGCTAACCGTGGAAGATTCTCGTGGTCTTCCTCTCCATGTAGCGCAAATGCGGGTTAGCTCCTTCAAGAAGTCCTCCTCGAAGGCAAATTTCTCCCACTACTTGATCCAGGAGTTCCCTTGTCTTCTGGATTGGGTTCAAAATTACAAGGCTACGGAGTTGAACATTAGTACTCGTAAACCCATAAAATTAGGTCGGCTTTTCAACGACGGTTATAAAATAAAATAAAACTGTTACATTTCACGAAGAACTCTGCGTGTCGTAATTGCAGTCAATACCGTACCTGCACATCCTTTTGAGACTAAAGTTGACGGTATGAGCGCGTCTCTGATAAGGTCACCAGTTTCTCCATTTAGGTCCAAGGAAGCTAGACAGCCCTGGAAACCTTGCCTGGAATGCAGGAGCCTTGGTAGAGTGGAATACATTGATCTTCGAACGCCACCAACGTACAACAGTCCCTGAAGATCTAGATGAGTATTTGGTCCTGGGCTGTTCACCTGCAAAGATGGAGTTAATTCATAATTATGAATTATAGATTGGAAATGAAAAATAATTTCATATTGCGAGGCTAGTGAAGTGTATGTTGCTTTATAGTGCATACGTCGTAGGCAAATTAATAACAGTGGGGAATAACTTTTTCCTTTTTGTTTTCTGTTGCACGAGATTTTTTTTAAACAGATTTTAGATACTTTTAATGACTTCAAGTCTAACGTTTCCAGGCAAACAAATTGGCTTTAATGTCTTTCATTTCATCGTCCTCATTAATGATTCACATATTTCAGTAGTGTTTTTGTCTCGTTCTTCTTTAAATATTAATTTGCGGCTTTTAATGAGCATACTCTTTTCTAAACTTTATTTTTGATACGAGTTCGAAAAATATCCAGTATGGGTCGGGATTACGGTCTATCTGACGTATTTGCAAGTGTTTTAATTAATTTTTCTTGTTTTTACATGTCTTCCGACAGAAGTTGGCTTACATAAAATCTGGTTAATCTTTTACGTGATCTGGGAAGCCTACTTTAACAACGTTTTTCAAAGCACTTTCACCAAAAACAAATAAATAAATAAAATAAAATAGAATGAAATAAATAAACAAAAGTGAACAGTTTAAGTGCCTTACAGTTGAGGCAAAGCTGTAAGTTTAAATAAACTATTTTTACCTTAAGGAATAATCTGGGCTTAAGAACGGACACATAACTTAAATATTAAAAAAAAAATTATTGAACTATTTTTTTAAAAAATTGCCAATTTGGCGAGGTTTTTCCACCTAGATGAAAATTATCAATACCAACACATAATTCTCAATTCTTGCAAGTTTTTATGATTCTACATTACGCAATGTTAAAGTAATTTTTCAAAAAAAAAAAAAAAAAAAAAAAAAAAAAAAAAAAAAAAAAAAAAAAAANAAAAAAAAAAAAAGCATAATTTCTTGCTACAACAGCTCTTTGGAAAAACAGGCTTAATAACGCTGCGTGGAAGCCCTTCGCTTCTAGAAGGTTAGTGACAGTTCTGAAATAATTTGAATTCTTTCCCTTGTTGAATGATCAAACTCTTTAACCCCTTCCTTCTCGCTCCTGTGAAAATGACGGGGTGAGGTTTCGCCCTCTATTTCTCGTTCCCGTGATTGACGGGCTGGAGTGTTCAGTAGTAACGAGGCAATAAGAATAAAACTAATTCATTTCTTTTGCCTGGAAAACATTTTATTTCTCATTTTACACACCAGATGGCAGTACCAGGATATTTTTAAGGTAACTGTAGATAGTTAGTTTATTTTAAACTAGATGCCAGCACTAATCAAATACGTAATACAAAGACAAAAGTCAAAAAATAGGCACTTTTATGACAATTTCCTTGAAAATTAACCGATCGTTAAGGGGTTAAATCTTACCTTCGTAATCATGTCGTCAACCATGAGGGTATGCTGGTTAAGTGATGGTCTTCCAATGGTGACAGCATGCCACTGATTATCGTTCAATGTTGTCTTCGTGTTTGATCTCACTCCACGTGGTCCATCACCCAAATTGAAAACGTAATGCAAGTGCCCATCAATAAGCTCCACCGCAATAAAGTCCTGTCCTTTACCCGCATTGTACAGTATGAGACCATTCGGTTCCATGGTTTTGAATTGGAAATAGAGATTCAACGTAGAATAAGCTCTCAATTGTGGCAAGCCGAGGAACGTAAACTTAGACTTGAACGTGACGGGGTGATGTACTATATTTTCTTTCTTTCCAAATTTTGCAGTAACCTATAAAACATTTATTTCATGTAAGTTTAACACATAAAATTTTTATACATTACGTTAAAATTTGTTTACAAAAAACATAAATAAGTATGTGCATAGTTGGCGTAGTCCCTCTCATTAATTAAAAATCTCAAGAAGGGAGTACTTAAATATTTAAGATAAATTAAAAGTTCATCAATAAGAATTTCCAAAAAATTATTAATATCACATTAATATTAAATATTAGATAAATTTGAGAACATTGTCCTAAAAGTTAAAGCTCAAATAAATAAGAAAAATATAGTGCTTATGGATGAAATAAAATCGTTGCTAATTTAAACCGACAAAACAGCGTTTTTACTACACACAAATTTAGAACAGCATTTTTTTCATGTTGCTTATTTGGAATAGCGTTTTTTTCTTAATTTATATTTAGAACAGCGTTTTTCGTACTTACAGTTTTAGAACAATGTATTTCTTATTCACAGATTTAGAACTGGATTCTTTCTTCTTGAAGAAATAGCGTTTCTTTTGCTTGCATATTTGTAGCAGCGTTTTTTTTTCTTGCTGATTTTGAACAGAGTTTTTTTTCTTTTTGCAGTAGAACAGCGTCATTTCGATTCACAAACACGTTTTTCCTTCAATTGTCATATGATTTACTCGAAAATTTAGCTTAATTGTGCTTGCAATTCACTTACACATACTGATGTTTTTAAAATTATAACTACAGTTTGATTATTTAAACGTAAAACTCTGACTTTTGTAAGGCATTTTCTGCACATTGTGTCACCATTTTTTATCATACCATTTGTCACATAACTGAAGCTACAAAGGGTCATCTTCAAAGGGTCAATTTTCCTTCCTTGTTGTAAATTGTTTTTAATTCTACTACATCTCTATAATTCTCTCCTTCACTCAAGATGGGGCTTCCTTATAGAACCAGAACAATTGCATAATTGTTTTGATTGCATGGTTGCCAACTTTGAACCCTTTTGGGGCAATTTCTTTTAGTGGTAGTTAAGATTATTCTTTAGTGTATTTTTCTTTGTTATATAAATTTGATTTAAATTTATTTTCCACACCATTACATATACATGACTTAAAAGTTCATATCAAACCTTACTTTTTTCCAGTTTTCTCGCGATGAAGCTTTTACAACGTTGACAAAATTGTCAAAAGATTCTGATAGTTTTTTAATTGCAAGGTACGTAGCATTTCTAAAAATTGCTTAAAGGTGCTTATTTTCGATTTTTGTTTTTTTAAAAGCCCTTAAAGGTGCTTTTTTCATGGATGTTTTTAAGAAGTGTTTAGTTTTCCCTTTTAAGAAATGGGATATTTTTCTTTACCATGTTGATTTTCGCCACAAATTATGCAAAAATACATTGTCCTATTCAATGTTTTCACAATTAATTCAACCCCAATCTATTTCGGCGTACCACCGGTCTGTAGTGTATGAAAGCACCATTTGTTTTACATGATTGATGAAATACTTGCGGGTCCGCACTTGCGTATACTGAGCTGGATTCAGTGGTATGGATTTTTGACTCTCATGTGCAACCCAGCTGCATTTTGAAAGAGATTCTCAATCTGAGACTTCATTTTCCGCCCTCTGTAATAGAATCGAAAAATCTCTCGAATTTTTGCTGATTACGGGGACCAACTAAACATTGCCAAATTTTTTCTCTATTAGTGATAGAAAATTTCATTTCTCTTGTTAATTTCATCGTTTGTGACGCGCCATCGTCTTTGTTACCGTAAATAAAACTGGATAAAACCATCAATTGTCTAAAACTTGCCAACCCTGTCTAATTATGATATTTTTCAAAGTGTGTAAAAATATTTTTTGAGTGCTTGAAAAGTGCTTATTTTTTGTTGAAAAATTTGCCTACGCTCCCTGAATTGTGTACCACTCGACAAAATATTTTTCAAAATTCGTTGAAGTTGGCAGCCCTGTGTGTGACATAAGTTTTATTATTTTTTTTCATTATTTTACTTTACAACTAAAACGTATTGTTTAGAAGTTAGGTAGTTACCTTATCTTCGGAGTCAGATTCACAATAGTACAGTTAAGGAATTAAGTAAAAAAAAATCTCATATAAGATATGTAAATTTTATGTTTAACATTGGTGGTAGAAAAACGAAGACAATTGGATAATGTGTAAACATTTTTTTGTATATTAAATTGGACATAAATTGGACAGTAAATTAATGCTGAAAGGGAGTATAAAAATTAAAACTATAGAAAGAAACTATATAAATTTTTACAAGAAACTATAAAAATTTTTTAGTTGCTTTTTTTAAAAAACTTTTTAGAATTTTTGATTAATATGACAGACACGTCATAACACTTTCCCCTACCTTAAAATGAGAAATTTGTCCACTATGGGCCATGTCAAGATAATGTTTTCTATTGAATATCAGATGTTGCAAATGTCCAACGAAGTTCGGCATGTCTGGTACAGGTTTCGCATGTTCTGGGTGAACCGATCCAACATGGAGTGTCTGGATCTCCAAAGTCATCGATTCCACTTCCCCTAAATCTGGAATAAAACAATAAAAGTTGAGAGAAGTATTTTATATAAAAGGAACCCATCGAAATAAATATTAATTTCTATTTCATGAAATCTCACCATAGCTCTTGGAATCTGAATCCAGATGGACATCCATTTTGTGACCTCTTCTGCGGATATGAACTGTGTGCCATGTATCGTCATTCAGACTCTGACCCAAGTCAATTACCTGTAAGAAAGAGTATCGTTTAATTATAACAACAATTAATCTCGTGGAAACCTTATTTTTACCTATTCATTTTATTTTTATCCACTTACTTATCACTGTTATTTTTCACACTTTTTTTATTGTTATTATTATTATTAAGGAAAAGTGCTTAAGCAATGTTGTCTTCTTCTTAAACCATTCCTTGCGCAGAATGATGAAAAAAATACTTTTAGAAAAGATGATGATGACATAGAAATGATGTAAAAAAATACCGTTGAAAAAAGGAAGGAGAAAAAGAAGAAAAATAATTATTATTTAAGAAAATTGCTTAAGAAATGCTGTCTTCTTCTTAAACCATTCCTTGCGCAGATTGATGAAAAAAATACCGTTAGAAAAAGGGATGAAGATTTAGAAATAATGTAAAAATATACCTTAAAAAATAAAGGCGAAGAAGAAGAAAATATGGAAGAAAAAGAATTATTATTTAAGAAAAATGCTTAAGAAATGTTTTCTTTTCCTTGCGTAGAATTATGAAAGAAATACAGTTAGAAAAAGAGGATGATGACTTAGAAATTATGTAAAAAATACCTTTTTTTTTTTAAAAAAAAAAAAAAAAAAAAAAAAAAAAAGAAGAAGAAGAAAAAGGAAGGAAAAAATTATTATTTAAGAAAATTGCTTAAGAAATGTTGTCTTTTTCTCAAAGAATGTCGTCTTTCTCTTAATGTTGCCTTTTTTGCTTAGCGTGAAACAATTTTTCTACACTTTATTAAATAACATCTGATTCGTTTTTAAAGTTTTTAATAATTTACTTAATAATCATTGAAATGCTCTGAATGTAATAAATTCTATTTTTTTTTCTCTTTTTAAACATGAAATACAAACTAAAAGTCCAAAACACAAAATGCGGCATTCATTTTGCACTTTTATCCATAATGAATCATTGAAAATAAATAAGACGCAGATTATGAAATATTATTAAGGATATCAATATGAAATTATAATAAAGAGCAAATTTCTTGAAATTTAAAAAATTATTAAATTTTTCAAACGATATCTTACTTCTTCTTTGGCAGGTTTTCGACTTACTTTTAAAGTTTCAGTATTGGAATATAGATGGCAGTACCCATCCATATACTGGATATTACTGAAGAAAAGTTTTTATTAAGGTGAATAAATGTTTCGATAAAAAATTCTTTATCTTCAGTTGAAATTGTAAATTAAATCAAAGAATTCTTAATTGAGGGTGAATAAGCATTTTTATATCGATGAATAGTCATACAAAGAGGGGAATATTTTTTGAATAGGTAGATAGGTTTAAAAAGTTACAGAAGTTTATGAAGAAAGTATTGGCATCGTGTGTGGTATGTTTATTAATTACTTCAATTTTGCGCGTAAACACGAAAACTTTTTGTTCTGTTTTCAAGCGACCGGTGTTTAAATGTTCGAAACATTTATGTTAAGTTTTTAGCATCAAGAAATTTTGTAGTGATTATTTTCAATTTTATAATGAAAAATTACGTTGAAGTTGGAAGAAAAGGGTAAGTAAAAAATTACTATCACAGTTTGGATTATTGTATAAATATGAAAATTGAAATAAAAAAGTGTACAATTTTTTTTTATAGTTTTAGTTTGTTAAATGCTTCGCGGATTTATTTGAAACAGTTTAGAAATGCATTATATTGTCTATTTTTTTTTCTTCACGAATTTCATTGTCAAATAAACCTTTAAAAAGAAGTATTTATGAGTAGAATATTCTAATTATAAAAATTAATAGTTAGATGATTAATAAAAAAAAAGTCTTCAATTTTATACTATAAATTTATTTATTACTTTGAAGACTATTTTTTTTCCTTTAGACATTTCTAATTTTTGCATTAAGTTTACTTTATTCAAATTATTGTTTTATTTTGAATTTTTTTTCTTCGCTATGTTCATGAGTCTGTTTTCTACAATTTTGTAATTTTTCTTTATCTACTGATTTTAAATGCAGTTTATTATAGTAAAACTCAAGATTTACCCCTCCATTACTAGTAAATCTTAAGTTTTACTAGTAATGAGATAAATAACAAAATACGTGATTTGGAATAAAGTGATGTACGTGTTATATTCCGACAATGATACGAATCACGTAATTTAGTCTAAAATATATTAGCGGAATTATTTTTATTCATTATAATGTATTGTTGCATACATATACATTTTTATAGTTTTTTTATGATTAACGTTTGCTCACTTCGATTTGATTTGTAATGCTTGTTGGCATATGCCGATTCTTAGAAAGTTATTTCGTAATTTCTAGATTATGATATTCTTTTTAACGTATGATACTGATATCAGTAAGTTTTTCTCTCTCGTTAGTTTAGTAGTTTAGTTGTAACTTATGATTTAATTAAATACATGCATACATACATATATATACGCATACATATATTCGGTATCAGATATAGATTCAGATG